GAGTCTGTTAGGAGGTGAGTAATATATACTTCATGTTAAGTATTTTGGAGACATGGTTGTTTGTTGGATTTCTCAACGTTCTTAAGTCTTTCAAAGTTTTTCTTTGCAGAGTTGTTGACCTTGTATAGAATAGTTCTCTTGACTCTGCTCACTTAACTCAACATCAGATGCTGTTACCCAAGATTCTTTGCAATCATCTCTGTCATTGTTTCTTAAGGCTTAATCATAGGCCATTAAATTTATATATCACAATTTGCTCTGTTCCCCAATTGATGGACACTCTCTCAGATTCTAGTTCTTTGCTTTTCTTCTGTATACTTCCCCCCCTTAAGGTCTTCTCCCCAATTCAGGATCAAGAAGTTTGTTTTGCCTGCAACTATTTCTTCTCAAGTATTATCATTCTTTTTAACTGTCCCCGTCCCTCTTTCTCCCCCAGTTCCAGCATGTTTCTCTTTTTCTACATGAAATGCATGTGTGTTCAATCCTCCTTTGTCTATTTCAGTTAAGAGTACTATCTAATGCCTGTTCCCCCACATACTGTTTTCTTCATGTTTATATAACCTTCTCATTAACCCCAATTATGAGGAAATAGCAAGTTCTACGTTTTCTTCCTTTCTACATTAATATATTCCTTTTATCTTCCATTTTCTTTCTCCCCTATAAATTTTCAGAAAAGAACTAATCCATTCCCTCCAGACACTGTTATCATACAACCCCTTCCAGTTGCTCAAATAAATTTATTTTTCTAGATTCCTCTTGATTTCTTGATGCTTCCCCCCCCCCCAAGTTCTTACTCAATTCTTATCTTTTCATCAGAAATGTTTGAAAATCCTCTGTTCTATGAAAGGTGCATTTGTTTCCCCATCGGATTGTACTCAGATTTGCAAAGTATTATTCTTGATTGTAACCTTACATATTTTGTCTTTTGGAATATTGTATTCCAAGTTAATTTCACTTAAAGTAGAAGCTGCTACATCTTATACAATCCTGACTGTGAGCCTTTGATATTTGAACTACTTCCTTTTGCATATTTGTATTGTTCTTTCTTTGACATGGTAGCTTCTGTATTTTGGCTATGATGTTCATGATGCTTTTCCTTTTAGGATTTCTTATGGGAGGTGATCAGCAGATTCTATTTTCACATATACATTTTTATTTATTCTTGAAATGTAGTATCCAGGCTTTTTTTTTTGTCATGGTTTTCAAGGAGTCCAGTGATTCTTAAATTCTTTCTCCCTTTACCTCTTTTCCAGATTATTTATCAGGTATCATATATATTCATATTATAACAGCTATATCGTTTTAGGGCCAGGCTCTGCCCCTGTGTCCTTTATCTGAGGTGCTTTGTCTTATTCTGAGTCACTTGGGTTTTAGGGCTGACTTCCATTTCACATGGGTAGGCCCTCCTTGGAGCTTTGAAGTACAGAGCCTTGGATCTTCAGGGCTGTTTATGGCTTCTTAGGACAGTGCTAGAAACATTGGAGACCCTGGGTGCCTAAACTGTTCCAGTCTAAACACTGGTCCCTGCTACTCCTTTGGGCATCTAGAGTCCTCACTCTAATGTTTTCTGACCTCCTTAGGCTTTCATACAAAAACTCTTTGTTCTTTCTGTCCCCAACCAGAAAGCCTGGCACTATACATGTCTCTGTTCTTGCTGGGAAGCTACAGTTAAATTTGCCTACATTGGCGCTGGCTTTGCTGGTGGCCTTCTTTCCTGTTGCTCTTGGACTAGTGGCTAAATTTGTACAGTTCTGGGGTGGAAGAAGTAATTTTTCTCATTGGATTTTTTCTTTTTAATCATTAATTAGTCTGGTGGGAATTTCAGATTTTGATGGAAACTGGGCAGTCTGCCTCCATTCAGCCAGCCATCTTGGCCATAAGTCCTCCATCAATCTTTCCACTGTTCTGTGCTACCAAAAAGTTGATTATCAAGCTAGATGACATTGAAAATTATATTTTCTTGGAGGCGGAGCCAAGATGGTGGAGTAGCAGGAAGAAGTACAGCCGAACTCTACCCCACAACTCCTCCAAACAGATCTAGAAAATGCATCAGACCGAGTCCTGATCAGGAAATTCAAGAAAAAAATCACAGTGAGTCATTTTTTCCAGCCAAGTTCAGCAGAGGGAGAGATACAGAGGTCTGCGGACAATGGGGATGGGGTAGCCAGGAATGGCCATGTGGATCATTCCAACACAGGGAGAGGCGATGCACCAGGGAAAGAAGAAGTCCCAAAACTAGCAAAGAGGGGCCTAAACTTGTGCAAGGTACAGGAGTAGATGCCAACTGGTAGCTCTGTTGCTCACTGTCCAGTCCAAATCGCAGACCCAGAACTGACTTAGAAGGGGACCTCCACCTAGGGGTAGAGTCCCAGAGTGAGGAGTGGTCATGGGTGCTTCGCTGTGTTTTTAGCAAGGACCAAGTTCAAAAGCAAGTAGCAGCCATGTGACTAACCCAGGGACAGAGTAGAGTCTCAGTTCTAGCTTCCAACCCAGTCTGAAGCATAAAGCCATATAACCAAGCCAGTAATTTCAGACAAAAGAGGAGCCTGCAGTTCTGTCACCCTGGGCTTTCCAGCTGGTTTACAGTGGCTGAGTCCAGTAGCAGTCTCCTGGGCCTCCATCCAGAGGCAAGCCCACAGGTGTTGCTCAGAAATAAACTCAATTTGGGAACTTGTAGAGGGGCTGCGATTAGACTTTGCCCAGAATCAGATCATTTGGGATCACTGAAAGTTTGCAGGTCTCCAACCTGAACTGTCCCTGAAATACTTAAGTAATACAAGACTAAATACTGCAAGAAAGAAGCAGCAAGAGCAGCCAAGACATTCTCTCCAGAGGTATGCAGAGCCCTACTGTAACATAAAGTCCAGAGTCAGTAAGCAAGCTGGAAGATTGAGCAAACACAAAAAAGAATCTCACCATAAAAAGCTGTGGTGACAGGGACACTCAAGATACCAACCCAGAAGAAGAAAATGACTCCAAAACATCTACAAGCAGAACCTCAAAGAAAAACACAGCTTGTTTATAAGTTAAACTAGAATTCTTAGAAGAGATGAAGCAAGAATTACCAAAAAAAAAGCTTTAAAATATTTTTGTAAATTGAATAGAGCTGTGGAAGAAAGAATTGGAAAGGGATCTAACAGCTTGGCACAAGAGGTACAAAACTATACCAAAGCAACAAACTCCCTAAAAATTAAAATGGACCAAATAGAAGATAATGACTGCATTAAACAACAAGATATATTAAAATAAAATCAAAAGACTCAAAAGATAGAAGAAAATGTAAGATATCTTATAGCAGAAAACCAAACCAAACAAAAAACCAACTGCTCTAGAAAACAGATCAAGAAAAGATAATTTATGAATTATTGATCTACTTGAAAGTTATAACCAAACAAAAGAGCCTAGACTTCACATTTCAAGAAGTTACAAAAGGAAACTGCCCAGAACTCTTAGAGCCAAAGGGCAAAAAGATACCATCAGTCACCTCTTAGAAGAAGCCCAAAAATGAAAACTGCCAGGAACATTATAGCCAAAATCCAAATAAATAAACAACACTACAAGCAGCCAGGAAGAAAAGAGTTCAAGTATCAATAAGCCAAATTCAGGATCACACACAGTTTAGTAGCCACCATCATCTAAAGGAGCAGTGTGGTAAAAAGTCCTGGTAAAAAGATGAAAGCTTCATAGAAACTTTGATGTGCAAACACAGGACTCAAGAGAAATATAAAAAGGTAAACTTGAGCAATCATAAGGGACTAAGCAAAGATAAACTGTTTGCATTCTAATATGACGAGATGATATGTGTCCCCAGTCATCATCAGGTGACATAGTGGGAGTCTGACTCAAATAACCTGGGAGTAGTTCTATTATGTCTTAGTGATCTTAAAAGAAGAATGAAAACAGAAAGGAAGAGGAATACACTATGCTGGGAAGGGGAAGAGCAGGGAGGCAGATGAGGGGAAAATTATCTCATGTAATTGGGATGTGCAAGCAGAAATTTATACAAACAAGGAGGAAAGAGTAGTCAAAGCAGGTGACATTTGAGCCTTAATCTCATCTGAACTAGTCGAAGGATGGAAGAATGCACACATAATACACATACAGAGTTGAGCACAGAAATATATTTCACTCAATGGGTAAATAGGAGGGAAAGAGTATAAGGGGTGGGCGTTAAGAGGGAGGGTAGCATAAAGGTGAGATTATCCTGAGCAAAACAAACTTAAGGATATACAAAAATATTCATAGCAGCTCTTTTTGCAGTGACAAAAAATTGGAAACTGAGGGGAATATTCACCAACTGGGGAATGGATAAACAGGTTGCAGGATATAAATGTAATGAAATATTTTTGTTCCATAAGAAATGATGAGGGAGATGCTTTCAGAGAAAGATTGAAAGATTTATATGAACTGATACAGAGTGAAGTGAGAAGAACTAGGAGGACAGTTTATTTTAAAGTAACAGAAATATTGTATGTTTGAAAGACTTTGGAATTTGATCAGTGTAATGGCTAACCATGATTCCAGGAGACTGATGATGAAACATGCTACCCACCTCCTGACAGAGAGGTGATAGACTCAGAGGGCAGAATATAACATTTTTAATATAGTCATTGCAGATATTTGTTCTGCTTTACTGTACAAGTCTACAATGGGGTTTGCTTTTCTTAAGATGGGAGGTTGGTGGGGAGGGGATGTCGAAGGAAAGAAAGTAGACTTTTGTGGAGTGAAAAAAATAAAATTTAATTTAAAAAAAGTTTCTTGTCTCATTAGGCAAATGCCTTAGCGTACTAGGTTCTAAGCATCCATACACATCTAAAGTTTAAAACAAATATCTAGCATTCCCTATCAGTGCATAAATTCTAAAAAATTATACTTAGAGAATTTTTTTAAAAACCAAGTTATGTCTTAGAGCTTTTGTAGGACTTACTAACAGAATTCTTCTCATACAAGGCATAATTAAATTAGTCTGGTTCTTAAATAATTTGTTGTTGTCTCTTTAGGTATGATCCTGATATTCTGTTAGGATATGAAATTCAGATGCATTCCTGGGGCTACCTCTTACAAAGGGCTGCTGCATTAAGTGTTGACTTATGTCAAATGATCTCCCGTGTTCCAGGTATTGTGAATCTGTTGTGGTTTAAATGTATAATTAGTTAAAAGGTAAATAATTACAAGCAGAAAATTGAAAAGTACCATTTTGTTTTAAATCAAAATCTTCTCTATTTCCCAACTTTGTTTTATTGGATTATCTTCATGTACCAGTCTAAAGGAGTATCTGATTTTGGAGGTTCTTTCTCAGAGGTCCTGATTCTGATCAAACTTTCAAAATTACCTACTCTTTGCAGTTAGAGAAGGTTTATTTAAGTTTTTTTTTTAAATGCCACATTAGACTAGATACTCCTTGGAGATCAGAAAGCAAGGTGAAAAATGAAATGTTAATAAAGCTGGTCTCTGTACCATTTGATAGGAAATAATGAGAGAGGAGATGACTTCAATAAAACAAGAAAAGTTGGTGACTATAAGAATCTGGGATAGCAGATACTTTCATGAGAAGCCAGTCGAATTATATTTTATTTTTTGCTACCAAGATTTTCTTCTTTGTCTTTGATTTGATCACAAAATATATTTTTGAATCAAGAAGGTTTTTTGTTTTGTGTTAACCACATTATTAAGAAGAAGGTAGCACAATGTAGTGAAAAGAGCACAAGATCTCGTCAGGAAATCTGGGTTGACATGCTAGTTCTACCACTTAATAGCTGCTTGTGCCTGTTTCCTCATCTGTAGAACAGGCATAGTAACGATTACACTTTCTACCTCACAAAAAACCAAAAAATATACCGGTGTATTCATGGCAGCAACTTTCTGTGCTAGCAAAGATAAAGGAAAGGAAATAATAAGTGTTCATCAGTTGAGGAATGGCTAAATAAATTGTAAGACATGAATGTATTGGGATGTTATTGTGATGTAAGAAACAATAAAGGAAGAATTCAGAGGATCATGAGAAGACTTATATAAGCTGAGGCAGAATGAAATGTACAAAGTTAGGTAGCAGGAAAACCTGGGTTCACATCTCACTCCAGACACTTACTCTGATAATGACCCAGAGGTGGGGCTTTGAAGTAGAGTACTGGGTGTATACTGGAAGGCCGAGTGTGTTGCTCAATTATTGTTGTTGTTGTTGTTTTTTTTTCCAGTCTTCATTGCAACAGACAGTTCACTGAATGGGGGCGAGGGAAGAATATTCGGAAATGAATGTGATAGGAAAGCAAAAGCATCAGAAATAAAATTAAGGATGTTGGATAAGATATAGTTGTATTCAATTCCGACTCCTTTCTATTAGGTCATATCTTAATAATCCAAAAAGTAAGATAAGGCAGTGATTCAGATTTTTTCCTTAATATGTAGGCTGTTTACATCTCTGATAACAGTCTGTCTCTTCTACTACTAGGAATAGAAATGTGAAATAAAAGCCTCCCTTCCACATGATAGAAGATCCTTGTCATTGAACTAGAACTGTCTTTTTTGACACTAAGAATGTTTAAATACTAGAATGTCCTGTTAAGGAAGAGTAGAGCATCTCCGGTTACTGAAGATTTTTAACGCTAATCCTTTCTCTGTGGCTACCATGGTTGTTTCAATAACTAGTAGTGAATCCAGGGAATCTTCTGCCCTGTTAGTTTGCTAGGTGCTATTACATACATAGTTAACTAATACTGTTGGCAAAAACGGAAACTTTATCGAAGCATTTCTATTCCTTAAAATTAAATGCAGAGCTCCATTTTCTTTTGAGAAGCATTATTCCAATTTTCAATTCACTACAGAAAATGTGTCTTCCGGGATATCTTTATCCAGGTTTCAGAGCAGTCTTCATGTTAGGACCTCATCAATTTGACAAGAACACTGGAATAGGAGTTAGAGGACCAAGCTCTAGTCTTTGTTCTACTACATATTAGCCATATAGCTTTGAAGTCAGTTACTTCTCTAACATAAAAACTCCTTAACAGTGAGAGTGTTTAAGCACTAGAGCATTCTGTTAAGGCAAATTATATCATCTCTGCTCCAAGAAATTTTTTTTAAATGGCATTTTTTTCATTGATGATTCCATTGACCTATATATAGCTTGTTCATATGCAAAAAAAAGGTAATAATTCTTGTACCACCTACCTCACAGGATTGTTAGAATAAAATAAAATAATATGTGCAAAAGCACTTAAAAAGTATAAAGCATTGTACACATGTAAAGTTTTGTTAAATCAGTTTCCTCATCTGTAAAATCAAGATGATAATAGTACTTACCACCCAGAGTTGTTGTGAGTATCGAGTCAGATAATAATTTTGTAGTGCTTAGCACAGTGCCTTGGCACATAGTGAGTGCTATGTAAATGTTAGCAATCATTATTTAGCCATTATTAAATATAAGATAAAAATAGTCCACACTTTTCAGATTAAAGCCAGAAAAATGCTGCAGTTCTGGGTGAGTGTGAAGAAGCAACAAAAAGTACTAGAAATAAAAGAAAAAAGGTTCAATTTTAAAAGAATGTAAAAATTTAGATAAAATGATTGCATATAACAGTTTCCACAGCTAAGTAAGTAGAAATTTTTCCAATACTATGAAGTACAATATCATCTGTAAAAATTAAGAAATAGTTTATTGGTCGAATTCAGCCAACCGCATTTTTAAATTTATTATGATTCTAATTTTTATTGGGGATAACATTCTCAAGTGCCTGGACATGTCTTAATGCAGTCTCTTTTCAATTTTATAGATGACAAAATAGAGAACAGATTTACTGCCAAAAGAGATGACTATGGGTCAGATACAATGAGTGAGATAAACATTGTTGGGCGGATCACACTAAATCTTTGGAGAATCATGAGAAATGAGGTAAAATGCCTTATCTAAAAATTAACTTTAAAAAGTTAAATTGAATCAGATTTATTTATGGTATCAGTTGTGATGTTATGTGCATTTAAGTATGCAAGTTTTATGCTTTTCTGGTGTTAAAGTGGAATTTTTAAATATATGTACTAGTAATGCTGCTTTTAGTTACATAAAATTATAATTTGACTACCATTTCTTTTTTTTTAAGTTAAGAAATAAAAAGCATTTCCATAACATAGTAGAATAGAGAAAAAAAGATGATTGCATATGAAACTGTAAATCTAGTATGTACAATTTGCTGTGCCTTTTAAATATATAATAAAGTTATCGTGTAACTCTTTTTTACCCCTTTTTTCTTCCTTCCGCTCCCAGCTCTAGAAAAAGCTACCATTAGACACAAATATATACATATAATACATATATATATGTATATATATATATATGTATATATATATATGCGCAGAATCATTCTATATATACTTCTTATCAATTCTTTCCGTGGATGCAGATAGCATCTTCCTTCATAGATCCTTTGTAGTTAATTTGGGTATTTATAATAGTCAAAATTACTTTATTGCTCAAAGTTGTTTTTCTCTTTCATAACTTTAAAAATATCAGTATACACCAGGATACAGTACCAACAGTATAATCTCTAGGCCAAGAGTTACAAACATTTTTTTCCACTTTCCTTGTATAATTTCAGGGTTTTTTTATTAATTTATTTTTAGTTTTCAACATTCACTTCCATAAGCTTTGAGTTTTAAATTTTCTCCACCTTCCTCTCCAAGACGGCATGCAATATGATATAGGCTCTACATATATATTCCTATTAAACATGTTTTCACATCAGCCATATTGTAAAGAAGAATTAGAACCAATAGGAGGAACCACAAGAAAGAAGAAGCAAAACAAAACAAGAAAAAAAAAAGAGCAAATGGTATGCTTCAATCTGCATTCCAATTCCATAGTTCTTTCTGTGAATGTGGATAGCATTTTCCATCATGAGACTTTTGGAGATGTCTAAGATCTTTGCATTGCTAAGAAGGGCTAAGTCTATCAAAGTTGGTCATCGTACAACGTGGCTATTACTGTGTAAATGTTCTCCTGGTTCTGCTCACTTCACTCAGCATCAGTCCATACAAGTGTTCACAGATTTTTCTGAAGTCTGCTTGCTTATTATTTCTTATAGCACAATAGTATTCCATTACATTCATATGCCACAACTTGTTCGGCCATTCCCCAGTTAATGGGCATCCCCTCAATTTCCATTTCTTTGCCGCCACATATAGAGCTGCTATAAATATTTTTGTACATGTAGGTCCTTTTGTCATTTTTATGATCTCTTTGACATACAGCCCTAGAAATGCTGTTGCTGGGTCAAAGGGTATGCACATTTTTACAGCCCTTTCGGCGTAGTTCCAAATTGTTCTCCAAAATGGTTAGAGCAATTCACAACTCCACCAACAATGTATTGATGTTCCAATTTTCCCACATATATAATTTTCCTATTTTGTCATGTTAACCAACCTGATAGGTGTGATGTGGTACCTCAGAGCTGTTTTGATTTGCATTTCTCCAATCAATAGTTATTTAGAGCATTTTTTCATATTACTATAGATGGCTTTAATTTCTTCATCTGAAAACTGCCTGTTCATATCCTTTGACAATTTCTCAATTGGGGAATTCAAAGTAGTTCTTAAAGCAATAATGCTGTTACTGTATACAACATTCTCTTGGTTCTGATCATTTCACTCTTCATTATTTCCTGTGAGTCTATCCACGTTTTTCTAAAATCATTGAACTCACCATTTCTTATAGCACAGTAGTATTCCATCACAATCAGCCATTCCCCGGTTGATGGGCATCCCCACAATTTCCATTTCTTGTTAACTCTAGATAGTCTAAAATACCTGGAGTACACCTGCCAAAACAAACCTAGAAACTATGTGAACAGTATTATAAAAAACTTTTTTATTTATTTTGGTTTATCAACAATTACTTCCATAAGCTTTTGAGTTTAAAATTTTTCTCCCCCCCCACTTCCTACCTCCCTCCCCAAGACTGTGCGTAATCTGATATAGGCTATACATATACATTCCTATTAAACATATTTTCATATTAGTGGTGTTATAAGTAAGAATTAGAACCAATAGGAGAAACCACCAAAAAGAGGAAACAAAACACAACAGAAGAAAAAAAATAGCAAATAATATGCTTTGATCTTTCTGGATAGCATTTTCCATCATGAGGCCTTTGGAGATGTCTTAGATCCTTTTATTGCTGGGAAGGGTTAAGTCTATCAGTATTAATCATCACACAATGTGGCTGTTACTGTGTACAACGTTCTCCTGGTTCTGCTCACTTCACTCAGCATCAGTCCATTACAAGTCTTTCCAGGTTTTTCTGGAGTCTGCCTGTTCATCATTTCTTATAGCACAATAGTATTCCATTACATTCATATATCACATTCACAGTTATGATTACTATCTGTGTCTTTCTCTCTATCCTTTTACCCCCCCTGTTTATGCTTTTCTTTCTCCTTTCTCCTTTTCCCTCCTCACTAATGTTTTGCTTTTAACCACCACCTCCCCTCTATCAGCCCCCTCCCTTTTCTTCTCCTTTACCCTTACTACTTCTTCCCTCCCTTTTCTTTCTCCTTTTCCCTCTTACTGCCTATAGGGCATGCTAGATTTTTATACCTGACTGATTTATGTTATTCCCTTCTTGAGCCAAATCTGATGACAGTAAGGTTCAAACAATGCTCATCTCCCTCCCTTCTTTCTCTCTGCTGTAATAGGGTTTTGTGCCTTTTCCTATGATGTAATTTACCCTTGTCTGCCTCCTCCTTTCCTTTTCTCTCAGTACATTTTCTTAGATCAGATTAATCCACTTACTTGGATCCATTTAACCCACTTGATTAGATTTTTTTCATCATTACATCAAAGTCAATTTATACCCACCCCCTTTATATATACCCCTTTAACATGGTGTAATAGCAGGACAGTTCTCAAGAGTTACAAGTGTCATCTTCCCTTGTAGGGATGTAAGTAGTTTGCCTTTTATTAATAACATGTTGTTTTCTGTCCCATTTACCTTTTTATGTCTCTCTTGAGTCTTGTATTTGAACATCAAATTTTCTGTTGAGCTCTGGTCTTTTCATCAGGAAGGTTTGGAAGTCCCCTATTTTGTTAAATGTTCATCTCCTCCCCTGAAAGATTATGTTCATTTTCATTGATTAGTTGATCCTTGGTTGTAATCCAAGCTCCTTTGCCTTATGGAATATCATATTCCATGCCCTACAATCTTTTAATGTAGAAGCTGCAAGGTCCTGCATAATCCTGACTGTGGTGCCATGATATTTAAATTGTTTCTTTCTGCCTGCTTGCAGTATTTTCTCTTTGACCTGGTAATTTTGGAATTTGGCTACTATATTCCCTGGCGTTTTCAATTTGGGATCTCTTTCAGGAGGTGATGGGTGGATTCTTTTATGCTATTTACTCTGGTTCTAGGACCTCAGGGCAGTTTTCCTTGATGATTTCCTGAAAATGCTGTCCAGGTTCTTTTTTTCATCATGGTTTTCAGGTAGACCAATAATTTTTAAATTGTCTCTCCTGGATCTATTTTCCAGTCAGTTGTTTTACCAATGAGGTATTTTGCATTTTCATCTTTTTTCATTCTTTTGTTTTTGTTTGACTGATTCTCGCTCTCTCACATAGTCATTAGCTTCCACTTGCCCAATTCTAACTTTTTAACGAATTGTTTTATTCTGTTAGATTTTGTGTCTCCTTCTTCATTTGGCCAATTTTATTTTTTAAAGACTTGTTTTCTACGTCCTTCCTTATCCAAGCTATTAACTCTTTCTTGCATACCTCTCTTTTCTTCTCCCAATTTTTCCTCTACCTCTCTTATTTGATTTTTAAAATCCTTCTTGGGTTCTTCCAAGAAGGCTTTTTGGGCTTCAGACCAGTTCATATTCCCTTTTGAGGTTCCAGATGTGAAGTTTGTTGACAGTGTTGTCCTCTTCAGAATTTCTGCCTTGATCTTCACTCTTCCCATAATAAGAATCTATCATATGTTTCTTTTTGTTCATGGTGTTTGTTTATTTCCTGGCCTTTAAAGAGACTGAGCTCTCCTTCTGGGGAGCAGAGGGCACTGACCCAAGCTTCTTGTGTTGGGAGCCTAGGGCCTGGTCACTGGCTTTGTGTTCTGGGGCCTCCAATGTTGGCAGTTGGAGGCTGTAGGGTTCTGGCAGCTTACCTGGTGTTGGACTGGAATCAACAACACTGGAACTGTAGGGGTAGAATTGAGTAGTGTGGCTCCTGGAGATTTCCTGCTCACTTGGACCTTTCCTTCCTTTCACTTTCTTCATCTCCTTTCAGATGGATGTTGTAGGGTGTTTATCCATCTGGGTTCCCTTGGAGCACTGCTTCCTTTAGTTTTGCTGAGGCATTGGGAGAGCTGGTTGCTGTAGAGTGCCCAGGCACCTGGTGGTTTTCCAAGCTGGTTTCCTCAGTGAGGCACTCGGGGGACCAGGTGTTGGTGTTTGCCTGCTCCACCACCTGGGCTTCAAGATCTCCTCCTGGTATGCTAAGCTGGGGCTAGTATACTAGCTTGCTGGGATGCCTCCCATTCTATACTGCTCCCCTTCCCCCAGGGTAAGAGGGGGCCTTTCTGGTTAATCCCTCAAGCTACCTGGGCTACTGGACTGCTGTACCCCATCTTTCTTCTGGTTCAACTGTTCCAGGGTTTTTCCTGGTGTGATATTTTCTGGGCTTTCAGGTCTTAATAAGGGAGGCTAAGAGCAATTAATTCACCTCTTACTCCACCATCTTGGCTTCCGGAAGTGGAAGTCTAAAAAAACTTTTTATACAAATAAAATTAGATTTAAATGATTGGAGGAATATTAATTGTTCATGGGTAGGCAGGGCTAATATAATAAAAATAACAGTTTTATCTAAACTAATTTATATATTCAATGCCATCCCAACTAAATTACCAAAAAATTATTTTACTCAGTTAGAAAAAGTAGTAACAAAATTCATTTGGAAGAACAAAAGTTCAAGAATGTCAAAGGAACTAATTTTTTCAAATGTAAAGGAAGGAGGTTTAGCAGTACCAAATCTTAAACTATATTATAAGGCAATAATTATCAAATATTTGGTACTAAGAAACAGAAAAGTAGATCAGTGGAACAGGTAGACATACAATTTACAGCAGCAAGTGACTATTGTAATCTTGTGTTTGAAAAATGTAAAGATTTAAGTTGTTAGGATAAGAATTTATTATTTGGTAAAAATTGTTGGGAAAGCTAGAAAGCAGTCTGGCAGAAATTAGGCATAGATGATTATCTTACGCTAGTTACCAATATACAAGTATATACACCAGTATACCACAATGGATACATGACCTAGATATAAAAAGATATGTTACAAGAAAATTTGCAGAACGTGAAATGTATTATCTGCCAGACTTATGAATAGGTGCACAATTTATGAATAAAGATATGGAGAGCAGTATGAGGTATAAAATGGACAATTTCAGTTACATTAAATCTAAAACATTTTGTACAAACAAAACAAATGTAGCCAAGGTCAGAAGGAAAGGAGAAAATTGAGGAAAAAAATTCTGTAGAGAGTTTCTCAGCTAAAGGTCTCATATCTCAAATATATAGAGAACTTTGTCACATCTGTAAGAATACAAATCATCCCCCAATTGATAAATGGTCAAAGGATATAAACAGGCAGTTTTCTGATGAAGAAATCGAAACAGTTTATAGTCATGTGAAAAAAAAATGTTCTAAATCATTATTGATTAGAGAAATGCAAATTAAAACAATCTCACAGTGTTGCTGTAACTGTGTACAGTGTTCTCCTGGTTCTGCTCATTTCATACAAATTTTTCCAGGTTTTTCTGAAGTCTGCCTGCTCACCATTTCTTATGGAACAATAGTATTCCATTGCATTCACATACCACAACTTGTTCCACCATGCCCCAATTGATGGGCATCCCCTCAATTTCCAATTCTTTGCCACCATAAAAACAGCTGCTATAAATATTTTTATACATGTGGGTCCCCTTCCCCCTTCCATAAAAAGAGAGGGGGAAAGAAGAACCAAGAAGATTTGCCCTGATGCCTGGGAAAGTAACAGGTGAGAAGAAAGAACTTTTCAACTTCAGTAATTTCTGGTTTGGTTGGGGTTTTTTTGTTTGTTTGTTTGTTTTTTTATTGAAGAGAATTATCTTTATACTGAAAGGGCTAGGACAGTGGTTAGGAGGGAACCAAAACCCAGGATAAGTGAGCAGATAAAAGAGAATGACTGTACCACTCTAAATATGTTCAAGATTCCTGACCTGAATAAATTGTATCCAAAGATTTTGAAAGAATTTGTAGGTGTGATATTATTGAAGTTGATTATCTCTGAGGCATTCTGACAAATGGGAAATGTGCTACAGGACTAGAGATGGGCAAATGCCCTAATTTCCAGAAAGGAGGAGAAAATTCTTCAAACTATAAGCTGATGGGCTTGAATTTTTTGTGTAAAAATTCCAAAACAGATTATTGAAGGCCTTCTCTCTGTTTCTCACATGTGACAGACATCACATCTTTCGTTTTTGTGACTTTGTAATGGTTCTCTCCATGTCTGGAATGTGCTATCACCTCACCGCTGCTTCATGGAATCTTTCTTAAATCTTTTTTTAAAATCTTTAAAATTGTCATTTTTATTATACTGGCCCTACCCATGAAAAATTAATATTCCTCCTATCTTTAAGATGCAGCTCAGGCACCACCCTTTTTGTACAGTTTTTTCTGACCCCTTCACCTACTGGTGAGGGGATCCATCTTAAGATACCTTGTATTTACTTACTTTGTACTTAGCTTTTATATATACATGTACATCCTTCTTGTCTCCCTCATTAGAACTTAAGTGTCTTGTAAACAGAGTTTCTTTCATTTGCTATATCTGTAGCTCTAGGACGTCGCACTGGACCTGACAGAGTGGGTGAATAGTAAATACTTGTTGATTGACTGACTGACTGACTGACTGACATGAGGTCAGCTAACTGTCCTGAAGGGGAACTGCCAAGTGGTTTGAAGTATTTTCTGCTATTGTGAAAACTGTCCGTCTGTTTTAGTGATCCCAAGAAGAGTGACAAATTATTAATTCGCAACATTCACACATTTTTGATGCTCTAATGCAGATGAAGACAAAGGAGATGATTTACAGTAACAATAGTTTAAATAATTCAGGAATATTTGTGCTGTCTAACCTCTGAGCAATTTCAGAAATTCCTATGAGAAGTCCCAAGTTTTTAAAGATCTTTACTCAATGATTCAATAACTTGGGGTAATATTTGACACAAATAATGTAGCTAGTTGCATTTTGGCTCTAAGCAAGCCAAGAATCCTTTGATAATCTGGTTCAGTTCTGTTGTCATACGTAATGCACGTGCTCGTTCCAAGGAATCTTATGTATATACATTCCTATTAAACATATTTTCACATTACTGATCTTGTAAGTAAGAATTAGAACCAACAGGAGGAACCACCAGAAAAAGGAAACAAAACACAACAGAAGAAGTAAAATAGCAAATAGTATGCTTCGATCTGCATTCAGACTCCGTGGTTCTTTCTCTAGATATGGATAGCATTTTCCATCATGAGTCCTTAAAGAATATTGTTGATGGTAGTATTCAAAGTACTGGCTTATTCTGAGACTTAGTCTTTCCATTAGTCTTTTAAGGATATGTCAGTGTTTTGTGCCCACATTCACATTTTTTGTCCTTTTAAAATCTGACTTCCCCATCCGCCCCATTAGTCTCTTTAAATACCTCCCCCCTTTTTTCCTCATTAAGATCATTTTAATTTGTTTCGTTAGAATTACATTGTCAAGAGTCTCTTTTTCTCCTTGAGCCAAACTTTTTTTTTCCCAGAATCTGTGCCAAGGCCTCATCTCCATCTTTTCTCTGAACCTTCTATGATCTGCTCTTCAAAAGGCTAATGATCCTCTCCTAATCTGTCTCTTCTGAACACAAAGGAAACTTTCGTCATTTTCACTTTGCCAAACCATTTCCCCTCATGGGTCAGACTGAAATTCAGATTAGTAATTCTTTTCCTTGTTTCCATTACTTTCTGAAAGATGAAATTGTCAAAAAGGCAAGTCAAGAATTTATTGAGTAATCTGGTTTGAGCAAAAAGAGACTTCAGCAAATGTCTAGATTTAGTCTCCCCTTCCAGCTATCTCCTGCCTTCATGCTACTTTTGCCTCAGGAAATCACCATCACATTGCTCCATGTGACTGAGCCATCTTTTGTAGTGTACTCCCAAAAACCACATTTGCTTCACCCTCCTTTGAGGATATTCATTGCTCTCTTTGCCACAGTTCTAGAAAGCTGCTTTCTTCACAACCGCATTCCCAATTTTCTACTCAAAAGTAGGTTAAGAAATAATTTCACATTAATCCAACTTTCATCTGGATATTTTACAAATGGATAAATACTGATGATGCTTTCATCCTTTCTTCTCTTAAGAAACAAGGCAGCACAAAATCAACCACAAAATGAGAGGTCTAGTTACTAAAGCAACTCTTTGAGGCAAAATCTCTTTAATTTGGCACATCTCAAAAGTTAATGTAATTCTGTTAGACAGCTTGCCATCAGAAAACAACCCTGAAAATGATACAGAATTAACTTAATTAATGGCATTGTGAGTGAAACATTTTTTTATTCTAAATTTAATATTATTTTAATTTGAATATGATTTGAATTTTATTTTAATTCATTTCAGTGGTACGCAAAATTACTAATAAATGTGGTTTTTAAGTTTATCACTAAAGGTTTTAAGCAGTGTCTGAAACCTTCCAGATGAATATGACATTTAAATATAGCAACATTGTAATAATTACTTAAATTTTTCCAGGTGGCCCTAACCAACTATACCTTTGAAAATGTGAGTTTTCACATTCTTCACCAACGTTTTCCTCTCTTCACATTTCGGGTATTGTCTGATTGGTTTGATAACAAGATAGATCTATACAGGTAATGTTTCATTTGTTTGAGGGGGATATTATCATAACAAACATGTCAAACAAAAAGTATTATCACATCAAACATCATTTATGTTAAATTTTTTAAGGAAATATTTGCTATATTTTGATAACTGCAGAGAAAAAGTTGATAAGATTGTGGGTTTTAATTTTGAGGTGAATGAAATATGTTCATTAAATTTCAAGAGACTTCAAGGTGGGGAGGTGCAAGACCCCTTAGTAAGTCTTAGATATGCTCAGAAAGCTACTTTTTCGACATCTGTTTTCTTTGATGTTTACATGTCTGAGGCACCATCCATAAGTAAGGTAAAATTATAGGAAAATACTAAAGTCCTTCCTGAAGTTATAGAAATATGAGAGAATGACAGTAATAAATGACAACAACCCAAATGACAATAATAAATAAAAACAGGTTCAGTCTAAAGCTAATTAATATAAAAATTATGATTGACTGAGTTATTATGACTAATATGATCCAGAATTTTACATCGGTTCTCAGTGTCTTTTTGAACAGAAAGTGATGATGCATATCTTCTCCACTTGTACAAATGGTAACATCGGGAAAAATGGCCTTAAATTAAAATTGAGCAGGGAAGTTGACGACCATTTTGACAGTAAGAATTATATGACACTGGAACACATTGCACGGGAAGATCATACATACTTCTTTTAGGACACTGAAAATATAGTGACTAGTTGTGACCCTTCCATGTTCTTTCTTCCTTTGTGTTTTCCTAAAATACAAAAGCTCTTTGGTTTATGAATCTGATAAGTTTGGTAGAAAAATGTGTTGTGTAAATTATGTCATTTGAACTGTACCAAAGGAACTTGCTAGTCAAAGGAAATGTATCTTTTGTAAAGCAGATAGTCACCCCAGTTGTCTTATTGTACATCTATATACAGGCAGTACTCAACTTCTAAATGTGTCTATATTCTAAATTTTTTTAATAAATCAAATTGTTTAAAATTCAGGATGATTTTTGCTTTAAAATTTGTTCAGAGCCATTTTTTACAGGTATTTGGAAGGGTTTGGGGGAGAGCTCAAGCAAGTCATTGCTTTTGCTTTTCCATCTTGCTGGAATACCCAGGATGATTTTTTTTTTCCAGGATGATTTTTACATAGAACTATTGTGACAGAGGTTCCTTGACTAGCCCACAAAAGCTAACAAAATTTGTAGTCTGGCTGAATTTGTAGAATTATTGCAACTGGCCTGATTTCTAGGCCATGGGAGCAAAGACTTTTTTAGATTGCATGGCAACTCATAGGCAGACTGTCCCTAAGTTATTTTTCCTTGATTTCTGCTCTTTCTATTTCTGAACCTAAAGGTTCTCTAGAACGTGCAATATTTTTGCAGAAGCTCCCATTTTTATAGTGGTAAGTTGCCTGAAGGTATCACAGAAGAGAAGAAATGGAGGAGGACTGGCAAGGGCTATAACAGTCATAAGTTCAAGGATGGTCTTCATTGGGTTTTCTTCAAGTAAAGTACACCTGTTCCTCTGAGCAAGGAGATTTGGCAGTGAGCTTGGGTAACATATGTACTTTATAGATCCTTAATTTTTGTCAGTTTGGGTACTCCATCCATCCATCTAATAAATGCTAGATGGTCATCAAGAGTTGCTGTAGCCAAAAAAAAAAAAAGATTTGTATGAGGAAAAAATTCACACTACAGCCAGTCTGGTGTTTTAATTCAATCCGTCAAGTTATATGTCTAGCATAGAATTTGCATTCTTTTGGGGGAGCAATATATAATCAAATTTAATATTTTAAAATAAATACAACATAATTTTGAGTGAAAAGGTAGAAAATCCAACAACCAAGCAAATCAGGAAAGGTCTCTTATAGGAAGTGGTACTTGGACTGAAACTTGAAGGGGGAAGCTAGGAACTTCTGGAAAAAAAGACTAGAAGGGAGCACATTCTAAACATGGGCAACAAGACCCCTTGTGCCAAAGGGCAGGAGATTGAATATCATGTACAGGAAATTATAAATGTTGGCTTTTTTTTTCCTTTTCTTTTTGCCTAAAAATGAAGCAGTCAATAGTGGGAATGAACCAGTTTGGCTGAAATCCAGAGTACATTAGAGAAAGTAATATGAAATTTGCTTAGAAAGATGTGTTAGACCCAAATTGTGTTGGGCTTTAAATACCAGAGGATTTTTTTTTTTCGCTTTTTGCTAGGCAGTTGGGGTTAAGTGACTTGCCCAGGGCCCAGGGTCACACAGCTAGTACGTGTTCTGTGTTGTGTCTGAGACCACATTTGAACTCAGGTCCTCCTGACTTCAAGGCTGGAGCTATATCCACTGCACCACCTAGCTGCCCTAATAGCAGAGGATTTTATATTTTATCTGACAACAAAGTTTCCCTGTCTTCAAGGAGCACTTACTGAACTGGATTATGTTAGTATATAATAAGCTAACTTTTTTTTTTAGTACATATGTTCATTGACTCTTTTAAATAAGTCACCCAAAAAAAACATGTTGAGTAAATTAAAAAAAACAAAACAGTGTGGATTGTAACTTCCTCATTCTTTTTCTCATGTTTGATCCTTAATCCCATGTCCCTTACTTTTTTATCAGGGATGTGAGGTTTTTAAAATTTGTGTAGTTTAAATATTTAACCATTATATGTATGTTCAGGTTTTTTTCGGGGGGAGGTATTCATGGGTTTTACTGTGTTTTTTCCAGTTGTTGTTGTTTTTTAAAGGCATTTGGGCTTAAGTGACTTGCCCAGACTCACACAGCTACTAAGTGTCAAGTGTTTGGTCTGAGGTCGGATTTGAATTCAGGTCCTCCTGACTTCAGGGCCAGTACTCTGTCCACTGCACCACCTAGCTGCCCCTCAGTAGTTTTTAAAGAAAGAATGATATTTGTTATATGTGACAGTTCTTGAGGGGTGGGGGAAGAAAGGGACACTGGAAGAAATGTTAGTTATGTAAAAGAACATAATAGATCAATAAATTTTTTTAATTATAAATTTAGATAACTTTAGTGTACAGACTCCAGTGTAGGCTCCGCCACTTTTTTTTTATCAGATCATTTCAATTCTCAAGGCTTCATTTTGTTCATCAGTAAAATGAGTTAGTTGCATCAGATGATTTCTAAGATCTATTACAATTTTAAAATTTCAAGATTATAGATTCTAACTAATGCATGCCAGTGATAGGGACATTTATTTTGAGGCCAGACTGGGCAGTTGTATTCTACTTTGTGTCTGTCTTTTCTCTCTCTATTCAGATAGCCAACACTGTGGTTCAGACCTTCATTGCTACTTACCTGGACCATAGCAGTAGCTCCTAATTAGTCTTACTTCCTCATCTCTCACCGCTATAAGCCATCCTCCACAGCTACCTTAGGCCCAGATCTGACCATGTCATTTCTCCTGCTCAGAAATGATCTGTGGCTCCCAATTACCTCTAGGATAAAACCTCCTCTTTGGGGTATTAAAAACCCTACAAAAGCTGGTTCCAACCTACCTTTCTAGATATATCACACATGAGTCCCCTTCATGCCCATTCTACAATCAACTGCAAACTGGCCCCCTAGCTGTTCTTCACAGCACTATTGTAGTTCCTATCTCCATGCCTTTGTACCAGCTTTCCCCCCAGTCTGGATACATTCTCTCCTTCCTCTTAGAATCCCTCCTTTCCTTCAAAGTTCTGCTCAAATGCCCTCCTACATAAGGTCTTTCCTGCTCCCTTTATCTTCTAGTGCTTCCCCCAATTTGTGTATACAGATTTTGTACGTAAACACACACACACACACACACACACACACACACACACACACATTGTCTCTCCAGATACAGCGTAAAACAAGGGCCTAGCACCTAACACAGTAGTTAAATTTGTTGGCTGAATTTGTCTTTGTGTTGGCAGGTTGCTATCTCTGAAAATCTTCCTCTTCATTCCTAAAGGTTGAAATGTATAAAAGAATAGTAACCATCCTGAAATTTTCAAGTTTTCCCATATTACTTTTTTTTAAGTAAGCTGTGTAGCTCCAGTTTTCTATAAGTCTAAAACCAAACATCTTCTGATTTACTCAGATTGAGTCTATTTAGAAAAAGATATTCTCAATACAATGAAACTAACCAAGGCTGCAGTTGAATTAATATAATCAAATAGCAATGATACAGGAATATTTTTATACCTCATACAGTACTTAATGGCATGAGCTTCAGTGACACTTTTCCTCCCCAAATCTGACTTAAATAAAACTTTAAGTATAGCCTATAATTAATGTTCTTTTTCAGAGTTTGCATTTTTTTTCCCTTTCATAGAGCTTACATAGAAGTGCCGCCATATCTTCATCACAATGGACATTTGCCATACCTTTGAGGTATGGTTGATTTTTTCCAAGTCTAGCCTCTATTGAAAGGTTTCCAGTGGGGTTTAAATCAGATGAATTCCTAGGACATTTCAATCTATTTATCTATATCTCTTGGATATAGATATTCTTAACCTTTGATGACATTCATGGTGAAAGGTCATGGTCATCTTGCAGTATTGTGTCCCTATTTGGGAATTTGTATTGCAGTTATTTACTGGAGTTCACCTCCTCAGAGGGATAAGAATTCCAAGCTCACTCTAAGAAAAAAATCCACCCACCCCTAATTTTTTTTGAGCAGATTTTTTACTGCCTGATGGCCGTGCCTCTGTCTTATTGGCTCACTTGTACTTCTTCTGACAACAGTTTTAATATTATTATTTGATATTTAAGATTGCCTTTTACTAAAATCAGTCCTCTAATCTTTTTATTATCTTGCCATGCATAACAATAGTTTTGTGAATTTTTGTTTTCTCCATATCAAAAATTAGAAACATTTTTTATTTTATTTTTTATTTATTTTTATTCATTTTATTCTCAGTGTTCTTCCAACTTTAGGAAACCTCTACCACGCTGTAGAGCAGAGATGTCAAACTCTGGGCCAGAAAAATCCCAAGTCTTTCAAGCAGATTAAAATGTAATTGCGAGATGTTTAACAAAATTAATAAAAATACAGTCCAACTTTGATAATGTTAACCTGTGATTTTCTAACTTGATATGTGGCTCATAATGAACATTTCTGTTTGAGTTTCTATTTGTACCACTGATGTAGAGGGATCAGTAACAACCCCTTCAGAGGTCAGTTGCATTTAAAAGTCTTTGCTTTTCTAGGGATTCCAGATTTATGGAGATTAGTCTGTTTTACAGCAACAGTTCCTCAGTTCTTGACATTTTTAAAAATTTGTTTCAACTGCATTTCCTTTGCACTTTAGCTTGACTGATCTAGTTTCATGGTGGACTTGAATAATCCTAGAAACACTTGTCCTTCCCAAACTGGCAGCCTCTGTAGTATTGCTAACACTCTGAAATGTGTTCTTTAAAAGCTTTAAAAAAACTTTTACAAGTTGATATGGAGTAATTGCTATTCTTAAAAATGATAGAATTAAATACAACAGAGAGCAGTGAAACACATTTGTATGGCATGAAGTCTCATGCTCAGCTGACATAGAACCAGAAGTCATTTTAATCTGGTCTCATCTGGTCAAAGTCAGACATTCTGGGTAAACCAGTCAGTGCTACCACAGTATTACTATCACAGAATAACCATATCCAAATCATCCCTTGTCCCAAATAATTGACACAAACTATAGCTTTGAAAATATACTTTTTCACAAAATGAAAATAGTACTTGTTTTCAAATGACCAAAGTCTTCCAGAGTCACTAATGTTCATAACATTGCTTTCTTCAACAGATGGAAAATGGTTGATCATTATGTTAGCCGTGTCCGTGGAAATCTCCAGATGTTAGAACAGCTGGATCTGATTGGGAAAACCAGTGAAATGGCCAGGCTTTTTGGGATTCAGTTCTTACATGTTCTGACCAGGGGTTCACAGGTAAGATGAAAAAATGTCTGTAAATTTTTTAGATATGTTTAACTCATTAAATGTTCTATTTCCTCTTTTTTAAAAAGTCAGCAAGCATTTATTTTATTAAATCAAGTTAATAAGCATTTATTAAGTGTCTGCTGTGTGTTAGGCATTATACTCAGCACTTAAGAAATTTCATTAAGATGACTTGATTATTAACTTGTAAAATTACACGAGGAAAATTTATACTAGAAATTTTTCATCTAGGTTGATTTCCTGGTGAACCAAATTTGGTAATTTTATGTCCATCCTAAATCCGATAGGCTATTTTTAAAGTTACCACAACTAATTCATGTGAATAGGGGATTATGAATAAACCTTCAGTATCACACATGACTGAGCCACTAATGGCCTGGAAACACCTGAGCCAAAAGTGATGAGAAAATTGCAACGTTGTGAATTTTACTTTTTTTCATATTTATACATTTTGAAGTTTTGACACAACATAAATATCCTTTTAAAAAAATCAAAATAGCAAATTCCACTGCAAATATCTTTAAAATAGTATCTCAAAATAAAATGTGGAACAGCAGAACCCACAAAGGGATGGAGTGAAATAGTTTTCCAGTCCAAGACAACTTAGATGGTTGGCAGGAAAAGTTTGTTGCACTGGGGTGAGAGAGGAGCACAGTCCAGTACAGACCACATCAGCACAGACCAGGCCCCAGCAAACCAGGAGCAGGGCCTGGGAGTGGGTGCTTCTGGAGTTCTCAGCCCACAGATGGTAAGGGAGTCTAACAGCTGGTCAGAAGGAGATTACAGTGGTCCCTTCATTGGCACTGGTTACATTGACCATACTGTGACCATACAGGGTCACAGTCTCAGGTGACAGTTCCAAGGTGAGGAGGAGCTCTACCATACCAGAGCTTGCAGCCACAGGGAGCAGGAACCCTGATTATGGTTATAGGACAGAAAAGAGTGTGTATTCCTCACAGACAATAGCACAGACGAAGAGAGTAGTAAACCCACCTCTCCTAGATCATACCCCCTTGGAAGAACCAAAAACTTATAGGTCCCCAAGAATTATCTCTGAAAACAGGTACACCAAAATCCTGAAGCTTGGGACAGTGCCCCCTGCACTCTGGATACAGAGCTCCACTTTAACATGGAGTTAAGAGTCCAGAAATAGGCTGGGAAAATGAGCAAACAATAGGAAAAAAAATTCTTACTGTAAAAAAATTACTGTGGTGACAAGGAAGATCAAAACCCACAACTAGAAATAGACAACAAAGACAAAACTACTGCATCCAAAGTATCAAAGAAAAATATTATTTGGTCTCAGGCCGTGGAAGGGCTCAAAAAGAATTTTGAAAATCAAGAGAAGTAGAGGAAAAGTTGGGAAGTCAAACTGGCTCTAGGATAAAACATTAGTTCTTCTGTTTAGCTTTTAAAGTCCTACACTACCTTGCCCTTCCCATTGAACATTACTGCTACACTTTGCAATCCATCCAAACTGCTTTTCTCTCAGTTCTCATTCACAACACTCCATCTCCCATCTCCGTGTACCTGTAATTCATTCCCTCCTTAATTTCACCTCTCAGTCCCTCTCTTCTTTAATGCACAGTTCAGGGATCTTTCAGATAAAGCCATTCCTGATCCTCCTCAACTTTGGTGCCCTCCATACCAAACTGCCTTATATTTAATTATTTTTACACATGTTTGTATCTCTTCATTTTACTTTTATGCTGTGCATATTTCTTATGTACTCATGGTTTCCATTTGAGGTAAATTTCTTGTCAGTAGGAATTGTTTCATTCTTTGTACTTGTGTCCCCAGCACCCAGGGCAGGGCCTGTTACAAAGTAGGTACTTAATAATTATTTGTTGATTGACTGATGTACATAGTAGGTGTTTGGCAAATGTTGTTTAATTAAAGGATGGAATATGACAAATGTTTGTTAAATCAGAGTGACAAAATGTGTTTAAATGCTTTCTTCCTCCCACAGTACCGTGTAGAATCAATGATGCTACGTATTGCTAAACCAATGAACTATATCCCTGTGACTCCCAGTGTTCAGCAGAGAGCCCAAATGAGAGCTCCACAGTGTATTCCCCTAATAATGGAACCGGAATCTCGTTTCTACAGCAACTCTGTTCTTGTACTGGATTTCCAGTCTTTATATCCTTCCATTGTAATTGCATATAACTACTGTTTTTCCACCTGTCTTGGACATGTGGAAAACTTAGGAAAGTAAGTTTACTCTATTTAAAATTATTTTCTGTGTATCTAAAATTGATAGACTTCCCCTGAACATTCCTCATACTTGAAGTTTTGACTGTTCTTTATATACAAAACTAGTAGGTTGTAAGAAATCTAATCCATTTATTTTGTTCGTATTATCAACTGAAGATTTGAGTTCAAGTCTTGCCTTTGACACATCCTGGCTATGTGACCATGAGTAAGACACTTGACCTTTCAGGGACTTTAAATTAAAGATGACTAATCAGTCTGCATCATTAGAGGGAATTTCTACACCAGGAATTCTCCAGTTGATGAAGTCACAACTAAAACTAAAATGAAAATGTCCTACAGTTGATGTAAATCACTACTACATGGTCATTTCAGCTATAGGGACTGTTATCTCTCAGGAAGGTAAACTGAAAGTTTCACCCTACATGTAGGGGAACTTAGATCTTATTGGTTTTAACATAATCTTAGATTTTATTTTAACCAGATATTTTCTAAGACTTAGAAAAATTTAACTATAATATGTTCTACTAATTCTTCTAAAATAAAATTTGTAATGTGATCAAATTGTACCATTCAACATATCCATAAATATTGTCTTCATTTGCCAAGCAATATTGTCTCTTTCAATAGTACAGTTATTATGTATTTGAGAGTTACTGCTTTGTTAGGTAATGATCTTTATCCTTAAAAAAAAAAGCATCTGTGGAAGTATTAATGGCATTTTATCCAGTTTATTTGAAAATTCTAGAATAAGGCATTTAAGAAGTTATATGCAGTCTTTTTTTTAGTATTTAATATGAAAAAGTATAGTTAGTATTTCAGATTCTCTATATAAAATGTCTTTAAATTAATGATTTATGAAGAAAACAGAATCTTTTATTGAGTTGAAGTTGAATATTTTTAATGTATGAACTTCAGTGTAGATTTTTGCCCATTAGTGTTAGATGTGGGTCATAAGAAATGCTTCAATTAATAAAGTTTAAATATTCAAAATTTTTATTATTAGTAGGCTTTTCATATGTACTCACTGGTAAACTGCGTTAGTATTTGAATACAATTGAAAAAACATTTCTAGTAGAATTAATGATAGAACCTTTAAATTATTGATTATAATTGTGATATGAGTACTCTTGTTTTATGTTTTGATTTTTTTTTTCAGGTTTGATGAATTTAAATTTGGCTGTACATCTCTAAGAGTACCTCCAGATTTACTTTACCAAATTAGGCATGATATCACAGTGTCACCAAATGGAGTGGCTTTTGTCAAGGTAATTTTGGCATGTAAATAAAAATTCTTTTCCATAACTAAATTGATGTAAAGCTCATGTACAGATGTTGTTGAATTATATGAAAAACAGAAACACAAGGGTTGAACTGGGTGTTGTGTCTCAGCAAGGGCCAGGACAAGTCTGAAGTCTAAGACTCTCCTAAATTCAGCAGTAACTTTAAAATAGCCACCTAAAAAGGAGCTCTTTTTTTTCCTATATTGTAACACTAAATTTCACATGTGTAGTGAATAGATTTTTCAAAAGCTAGATTTGTTCCTTGCAGTGGAAAGTAATAATTTATGGATTCAACTCTAAATTGATGTATCATTGTCCTGTACTACAATCCAATGTATTTATACACATACAAAATGGTACTTGTTAAGTTATAAAAGATGAGCATAATATTATTTAATGTCAATCCTACCACTTTTTTCTTATAATTTAAATTAAAAATTACCTTGGAATTATTTGGTTTTTTATTTGTTGTAAGCTTAAAAGTACAAATCACTCTTAGAATAGACATTTTTCCATATAGTAAATAGAATGAGAGATTTGAGAAATGGAACTTGTTCATGAGACCCTGTGTGCCTCTTCAGCAAATGATTAGAGAGTAGGTACCATTAGCCCTAGGATTTATTCTACTTTACTTCATACCAAGCTTTGTTCCCCCCTCATTGAATCATAAGGTTATTGGTTTTAAAACTGGGCTAGAAGATTAGATGTCATCTGGCCCAGCTCCATCCAGTTCAATTCAGTTTTAAAAAGTGCCTACTGTGAGCAGTGCACAGGTAAAATTTAGGAATGTGAGGCCTCAAGAGGCCAAGTCAGCTCCCAAGGCCATGTGAGTTGTTAGAGGTGAACCAGGCCCAGAAGGGAGCTTCATTCAATGAAACAATGAAGTGAGAGCATCCTAAAATCAGTGACATAGGTTAAGCATAAGTAATTCTTATGTGTTAAGTAATCCCTTACATTTTTTAGTACTGCAAGTTACCAAAAGAGTTTGTGGTGTGTATTTTCTTAGGGACTTTCAAGGAGAGAATTACCTGAATTGGTTTAAATGGGATCTACTTATAAGTAAACAAGTCCATTCCTTTAAAAATCTCTCCTACTGAAGTTTTGTTCTGTACAGCATTTATAAGAATATAACATACTGCCTCTTTCTAACAGCATTTTTAAAAGCTTGCACCTGTAATTTGACCCAATGTAGACTTTTTATAAAAAAGTAAAAAATGAGCAATTTTATAAATCTGAAACCATTTTCCTGTGCCTTTAGTTTGAATGGTTAAAACTAACATGCATTACTTTGCACGTGTTTCTCTTAAATTTCATCCTCACCATTAATATTGTTTTGTGTTTTTCATTCCTTCTGGAGTTTTCATAAATTCTCCCTAGTCTTGACTAATTCAAATGATTTTTTGGCATCAGCAAATTTTGTCACCTCACTATTCATCCCCTCTTCCAGATTGCTAATAAATATAGGCCGGAGGGGATGGCTTAGTGATCTAAGCATCAGATTTGAAATACCTAGAGTCCCTGGAACTGCAGGTTTGAATGTCAGCAGAGTCAACCCAGCTCTTCATTCTTCCAAGGTAGATAAATGGTGTTCCATGCAGATCACTGTGTGGGATCATTAGAATGAGACCTTAAAAACTGAGGTTTGGCACAAGTGGTATAGATCCCATGGTGCTTTAAGAAAGAGTGGGGGTTTTCCCAAAATTCTTGAATAAAACTACCCCTTGCCCTTATTAAAATATATGTAAACTATTGCAAAATATATATAAACTATTGAAGCCAGTTTCCACCCCCTTGGAGGCTGCTTCATTGTTCGTAATATTATTAAGTACATTTTATGTATACTTGTAGACACCTTTAAGGACAAAGTCCCCTTCAAAAAGAAGTATAATGTAATTATTTTATATTGAACACTACTGGTCTTGCAGCCACTGTACTGTGGCCCATATTTCCAATTCAAGAGCATTGGCCATATATTATACTTTGTATTTTCTATTTAATTATTTAAACCATTGCAGTGTAAGGTATTTAAATTTTTTTTTCTTTTAAAATAGCCTTCAGTCAGGAAAGGGGTACTGCCAAGAATGCTGGAAGAAATTTTAAAGACTAGGTTCATGGTGAAGCAATCTATGAAAGCATACAAGCAGGACAGAGCTCTTTCACGAATGCTCAATGCACGTCAGCTGGGGGACTCAAACTTATAGCAAATGTCACATTTGGTTATACATCTGCTAACTATTCTGGGAGAATGCCATGCATGGAGGTAAGTGAGGCAGAAATATAGCCCCTTTTCCCAATGAAACAGTCTGTAAAGCAGCTTTTGTGGCTGAAAGAGTTGTATTCACTGTGGTTTTCGTGATTTTTTTTTTGTTTTGGAGGACATAGGGCTGTAGGAGTAAGAAAAGATACACATGTTCTGGAAGCAGGAGGCCAAGACCCTTCCTCAGGGTGTCCTTAGACTAATTCCACAGTTTCCTATTTTTCTTCCTTGTTTCCCTCTTTTTTAGTATATCTGGGAACACTATGAGTGAGAGTTTGCCGGTAAGAGCCTGGGTGGCAAGGTGCCACAAGGTGGCAGAATCAACACAAAGGCAATTGCCACTCTTTGATCCTGTTCCTGAATCATACTTAGACTTGGCGAAGCAATTGGCATGTTTCTGGTGGCTACAAATGCTTCGTAACACTGTAGGTTTACACTTAGGTCTTTGAAATCCAAACGTCATTAACAGGTTTGATGCTAGCATCTCACCACATGTAAAGATATAAAATTACTTGAAACCCTGTAAGTCTGGTTATCTGTACTAAACTTTTGGTAGATATAAATTGTAAACTAAATCAAGTAGCAATTTCAAAGAACACTTATACAAATCTAAACTCTATTCAGACCTCAAAAAATTTTACAAAAGAATTTAAGAAATGAAAGAATTACTCAACACGTTCTAAATCCTTACAAAACATGTAATTAAATTTATGCCCTTGCATGGCATCTTCAACTGGGATGCAACTTCAATCTTTGTTACTGTATTTAATATTTTTATTATGAACAATTTGAAAACAACCTTTAAAATATTATTCATGATAGCAATTCTCAACTTCTGAAATCAGTCTAATTTAAATTTTATTGTAAAAGGACAAAGGCTTTCCTTGTGTGAATTTTGAAATATTGTACAGAATTATATTGTAAAGTTTGATTTACATGTTGCAGCCTTTTTAAAAAAATATTCCATTGAAAAGTGCAAAAGAAATGTTTCTTCGCTGTATATAATCATGCAACTTTTCTCATATCTCAGGTTTAATGAGTGTTACAACTGGAACGGCAAAATTATATATTTCCCTTGATTTACTTATCATTGAAGCCTCATTATTGTGTTTTAATTAGAATGTTTCCAAGGTACAATGTCATTTTTAATGTTAAGCCCTGTCATAATCATTAAAGTTAACATTCATTAGTACTAACAATGTGCCAGGATGCATATGTAGCATAGGCTTAAACACTAACAATCTAAATCTAATATTTCTGTGTACATTTTTCAGCATACTAAATTTGCATGATTATATCCCTTATGAAAAGACACTTCTGACATTAAAATGTCTTTTAAAAAGTGCAGAAGTAACCAACTCCTATCACCTATTTTTCAATTTCAGCATTATCTTTATCTAAGATTAGTAGAAATTATCATGGAATGCCAGGGAAAGTAATCTTTTCAAAAATTCCCTTATTTATTTTGCAAAAAGAACAACAGACTATGCTAGCTATACCACTAATCAGCCAACCTTGTAACCTTTAAACAAGTCATTTTATCTTTCTTTCCTTGTCTGTTAAAAGAGAATCAAGTTACTTGATCTCCAAGGTCTCTCTCAACTCTTAGGATTCAATAAAAGTGTTTCATGGAGGGTAGTGAATCATATTCTCAGACATATTCAGGTATCCTATAATTGTCCTAGGTTTGAATAAAAATACAAAAGCTGTGGTGTGGAGAGATTCCGATTTGAATGAAGTTACATCTTTAAATATATTACTTTGAAAAGTTCCTGTATATTACATTCATTGTACTACAATTAAATTTTACAATTTATGTAACAAATTTTTTTCTAATATTATGGGAATGCCCATCTGGCTAAATAGTAAGGTATTCAAATATAATTACATATAAGATTAAGTCATTGAGAACAATAAGGAAAGTTCATTTTTCCAAGTATGCTGTGTTAAGAGAGGTAAAAAGTACAAACCTTTATATTTAGCTGAACTTGATAGTTTGTTCTTTGAAGCCCTTAGAAGAAAGATGCTTACATAAACATGTTTCTTTATTGCTGATATCACCTATTAACCTTTGATCCAATAAATCTACTGTTTTATAAATATTAATTTTTTGAACCAGATTGTACTAAGAGAATTAACTCTTCTTTTTATGTTGAGGTGAACTAACTGGGGTGTTTCTTTCAGGTTACAAGGGTATTGACATTGAGTCACTAGCACTAAAACCAGTCAATTTAGCACATCTCCAAATGTGAAGCTTTTGCTTCTTTTCGTATCTATCCCATGGATCACATGCTTGTCTCCTTCCGTACAAAGGGCATAGGTGGCCCTAGCATGGGAGCAAAAGCCAAGAATCCCAGCCCATCAGCCATCTGGGCCCCCCTTTGCAGCAAAGGAGTTCTGGAACCTGGTAGCTACTGGAAGAATGGGAAAGTAGAACATGACTATAAGGTTAAATAGAGGTTTCTATTTTCAATTTTTTTAAATGCAAAGTGATTAGGATATTTCATCCAGTGATACAATAGGTCAAAGTAGCCTTTATACGTGCACTCCCTGGTCCATTAAGTTTACATCCCTGATTTTTCTCCAAAATAAGGCCTGGATAAGGGGAAAAGAAGTCTTCTTTTGGGACACCTGCAGATTGGAATGGGTTAACTGGCATTCACATGATGCCAGACTCACTTGATAGGAATTCCTTTTTGTGAACTCACCAGTTCACATGAGCAAAAGCAAGGCTTTTTGACTGTCAGAGTGACTAGGCACATTAACAGCACTGCTGTCCCCACGCCATCAGTCAGTAAACATTTATTGAACACCTGCTTTGTGACCAGGCACTTTGCTAAGTGCTAGCAATACAAGAGGTAAAAGCCCTTTCCCTCAAGGAACTCATCATCTATTTGGGGAGACAACAAGCAAACATATATAAAATCAAGTTACATATTGGATAAATAAATAGGAAATAATTAAGAGAGGGAAAGACGCTAGAATTAAGAGAGGTTGGAAAAGCTTCCTCCAGAAGATGGGATTTTAATTAGGACTTAAAGAAAGCCAGTGAAATCAGTAGGCAAAAATGAGGAGGAAGAGCATTTCAGGCATAGAAAACATCCAAAGAAAGTGCTCAGAGCTGAGGAATGGAGTATCTTGTTCATGGAACAGCCAGGAGCTCTGTGTGATTGGATCAAAGGCTACATGGCAGGGAATAAGGTGTAAGACAACCAGAAAGGTAGGAGCTAGGTAGGTTATAAAGGGCTTTGAATGCCAAAGGAATTTGTATTTGATCCTGGGGGTGATAGGGAGCCACTGGAGTTCACTGAGTAGGAGGGTGACATGACTGGACCTGAACTTTGGGAAAATCACTTTAGTGGCTAATGGAGAATGGATTGAAGTGGGGAGAGACTTGAGGTAGGCAGACCCACCGACAGCTATTGCCATAATCCAGGTATGATGTGATGAAGGCCTGCCCCAGAGTGATGGCCAGTGAGAGAAGGGGGAATATTTGAGAATTATTGCAAAGGTGTAATTGACAGACTTTGGCAACAGATTGGATATGGGGACTGAGAGGTAGTGAGGAGTTGAGGGTTGCACATAGTTTGTGAGCCTGAGGGATTGAGAGGCTGGTGATGCCCTTCACCATACCAGGGAGGGTAGGAAGAGGGGAGGGTTTAGGGGAAAAGATAATGAGTTCCACTTGGAACATGTTGGGTTTAAGATTCCTACTGGACATTCAGTTCAAGATGTTTGAAAGTCAGCTGGAGATGCAAAATGGAGGTCAGTAGAGAGTTTGGGGCAGGGTAGATAGATTTAAGAGTCACTGGCATAGAGATGGTAACTAAATCCATGGGAGCTGATGAGATCACCAAAAGTAGTAGTGTAGAGGGAGAAGAACAGAGGGCCTAGGAAAGAACCCTGGAGGGACACTATGGTTAGAGGTCATGATCTGGATAAGGATCTAGCAAAAGAGCCTAAGATGGAACAAATGGGTAGGAGGAGAACTAAGAGAGAGTGGTCCCCTGAAAACCTAAAAAGAAGAGAATATCAAGGAGGAGAGAGTTATCAAGTGTCAAAGGCTGCAGAGAGGTCCAAGAGAATGGGAATTGAGACAAGGCCATTGGGTTTATCAACTAAAAGATCATTAGTAACTTTGGAGAGAGCAGTTTTGTTGGGATGATAAGGTTGGAAGGCAGAATGGAAGGAGTTAAGAAAATAAGAGGAAAATGGAGGCGTCTATTGTAAATGATCTTTCTGAGTAAAAAAAGAGCCAAAGAGATACAGGACATGCCACCTTCCAGGAAAAAACATGTAATATTTTTTACCAGTTCTTTAAGGAAATTACTGACAGGAGCATAAACAAGAGCATGTGATCTCACGCTGACAAGCTTCTACCTACCCTACTCTATGCAGCTGCCTCCCAACTTCTTCTGCGGCCTAAACAATAAAGGTTATATGAGGTTCCTAGATTTTCCAAGAAGTTTTAAAATTTCTCTTTATACTGAGTGTCACAACAAATGTGTAATTCTAGCACTAGTTTATTATGGCTTCAAGCAAAAGTTTCATCACACACATAATTTAAAAAACCATTTGACTTGATTCAGAATTTTAATTGGCTCTGCTTTGTTTTACCATTGCCTGTGTGCTTATTTCTGCCTGATCATATTATTTCACAGATCACTAGCGTGTGTTAGTAGCTAACAAACTCAGATGTCGTCCCATGAACTTAGGTCTCCTTAAAAGTAATGAGAAAGAGGAAGTAGAAAATAAAGGTGAATTTTGCTGATTTTCCTTTTCAGGCCTACTGAGGGATTTTCATTCATTGGACTTTCCTTGAATCCTTGTGTGTACTGAGCATATAGAACAGTACTTATTCCCATGCCCATTGTATACACATGGACATACAAATGTCTATTAAACTTTTCACAAGTGTGCAGTGGGTAATGTACAACCAAAATAAGCATGAAGCTGCAAAGAATTAATATAAAAGCTTTAACAAGGGAGATTAATTTCTTGTCCCATTTTACACACACAGTTTTATACAAAATTATAGTTAGAATATGAACAAAAGAAGGCATATGTTTCTGTATATGCATGCATATCCCCAGATCAGTACAATATGGATTTTACCTAGTTTCTTATAACTTCTGTATGAACAGCGCTGTAATAATAACAGCTCTTTCATCTCCTTTTGTACTGCAAGGTGCTTTTTTTTTTTTTGGAAGGAGGTCAGGAGCTATGATTCTATCAAGTGTGGCAATTCTCATGTGGCAAATCTCTACTTAATGCAGATTATCAGCTTATCTAAACATATTCCCAGAAAGTCGTGCATGAGGTACTGAGAAGTCAAGTGGCTTGTCTGTGGTCACACTGCTAGCTTGTCAGATGTAGGATTTGAGTGACTCCAAGACCATTCCTCTAGCCATACACCTGTGCTGCTAATTCAGCTTTTTTTCATTACATAATGCTTCATAACTTATGAAGGAATATTAATAACTTTTAGGGAGATTTTCATCAACAGAAGTTAACATAAAAGGAATTTCTGTTTACAAGTGAGCATTTTTTTTAAGTCACTGATTCCTAAGTATTAGGATTAGTTGAAGTTTTATTATGTGTTCTTTTGTACTTTGCTGATAGGATATCTTTCTGGTGAGCAATTCTTAAGTTTGTTTCATCATCCAAGTAGATTGTTATCTCCTCAAGAATAGAGAGTGTGTGTTGGGTTTTTTTTTTTGTATGTCTGCCCAGAGCACTTAAAATGGTACTCTGTACACAGAAATTCATTAATTGTATGTTGATTGACTGAACTGACCTTTGGTTAATTAAATTAAAATAGTCTTTGAAAACTGATTTTATCCATTTGTTTTTCAGCATGCTAGATCTCAACCTTTAGTAAGGTGATGATAAATGAAAGGGATTTGCATCCCTTTTATTAATTTTTAAAAGATTTGAAAACAAATGTTTGCTTTTTCTCTTTGCTCTCCATCTAGATGTTTATCTTTATCCTTCAACCCAAATTTTACTTCCCCATCAAGTATATGATGTTCTTTACTATGTAGTTATAAACTTGCTTGTTGATTTTATTTTAGTGTTTGTTCCCTTTAGTCCACATCCTCTAGTTTGTCTTAGACTGTAAGCTCCTAGAGAGCATTTTGGATAGGTAGGTGACATAGGGCACAGGAAGATTCATCTTCCTGAGTTCAAATCTGGCCTCAGACACTAGCTCTGTGACCCTGGGCAGGTCACTTAACCCTGTTTGTCTCCATTTCCTCATCTGTAAAATGAGCTAGTGAAAGAAATCACAAGCCACTCCAGTATCTTTGCCAAGAAAACCCCAAATGGGATCACAAAGAGTAGGACATGACTGGAAACAACTGAACAGCAAAAGAGAGGGCATTTTATATAGTGCCCAGCACAGTGACAGATTTAAATGCTTTTAGGTGGTGGTAAAATATCTTGTCTGTAGCTATATCACTGAGGTACTGTCAAGATTATAGATATCGATATGGATATATAAGAGAGTTTAGGAACCATAGATAATAAGTACAGTAAATGTTTATGTATAAGTTAGATATCATTGTTACTTATAAAATAGAATTCTGTTCATTTATAATATATATTTTTCTCTTTTATCTAATTGTGCTGAATGAGGAAAGTTTTTTGGTTCATTTTTCAGCTGTTTTTAAAGCACTTAAATTTGGCTTGTCTTTCAAGATGCCAATGACTTATACTAAAGTTATTTTAACCGATTGTCCCAATATATTTGCATTTTCAGGTTGGTGATAGTATTGTTCACAAAGCTAGAGAAACCTTGGAACGAGCTATAAAACTGGTGAATGATACAAAGAAATGGGGTGCAAGAGTTGTTTATGGTGATACTGACAGGTAATGATTTATTAAAATAAATTTTTTAAAGTAGTCATGTGTTTGAAATGATTTATAGGTAGGTCTTCCTGAAAGTAGCAACCTATCAAAGTCAATTCCAGCCCTAATAATCCTGTGATAGGGATTGGTCTCTTTTGTAATTTGTCAGGGATCATTTTATCATTTGGCAAAATAGGGTTAGTAGGACATGGGTCATGACACGAAGTTAACCTACAAAATTCAGTCCTGAGCTGGCCCCCCACTAAAATTTTATCACTGAGTGAGTGATAGCAAAGAGCCCTCTCTTCCTGTTGGTTATAGAGACGTGAAGAATGATACCACCTAGTTTTTCATCCATAATCAGAACACATTTTTATGCTATTTTTAAAGTAATGTGAAGATACGATAAATCAGTAAGAAAAGCTAGAAATTCCTATATGTACCATGTTTATTCATGTAATGGTCATACTTTTTTATGTTGTTTTGTTAGGCTAAAATAAAATTACAATCATTTTGCACATACAGCTACATTAAGGAGTAATATGCTATCCCTTGATGTCTCTGCCCCTCATTTAGCAAGGCATGTGCTTTGAATTGTTTTTTTCAGTAATGGTAATAGATTTACAATAATCAGTTGCCATTTTAATGATGCCGCGTATGGGCTTTAGACTTAGATGTTTTTCTGGAACCAGTAAGAGGTATGATGGGATCACTCACATACACTATGCATAGGAACAGATTTTTTTTCTTCCAAGTTCAGGAACCCCCCCCCCAACTATTCCTGTAAATGCTACATAACAATCTTTCTCTGAATCTGTCTCTTCCAAAACCCAATCTCTTGTTCAGGTAATAATTATCCATAAATATTAAATGCCCACAGGAAGCTGCTTCTTAAAAGAATCATTTTATAATGTGAATAATTCCCCTATTTTTTTCTGTATTTCTAAATTATGTGTTCAGCTCAGTATATAGGCAGTGGGATTAAGTGACTTGCCCAGGGTCACACAGCTAGTGTTCTGTGTCTGGGGCCGGATTTGAACTCAGGACCTCCTGAATCCAGGGCCAGTGCTCTATCCACTGCACCACCTAGCTACCCCACCAAATTTTCTTAGAGCTTAAAATGTATATTATCACCTTTCATCCAAGTCATTAATAACAAGGTTAAAGAGAGGGCAGCTAGATGGCACAGTGGATAGAGTTCTGGCCTTGGAGTTAGAAGGATCTGAGTTCAAATCCAGTCTTGGACACGTGACACTTACTAGCTGTGTGACCCTAGGCAAGTCATTTAACCCCAATTGCCTCACCAAAAAGCCAAAAAAAAAAGGTTAAAGAGAACAAGACCAAACATATGTCCCTGGACCACTCCCCTGCAGACTTCATCCAAGTTGATATCAGACCAGTATTGACTATTTTTTGGATCTGGCCATTCAGCTATGTTCCACAACTACCTATTGCTTAGCTCAAATTTGTGTAGCCAGAATTCAAATAGAAACTGGAAATGGGCTGTATATTAACTTGTAAAACCAGATATTAACATCGTCTATATTCTGTTCTGTTTTTATGTATTTCATTAAATATTTCCCGGTATATTTTCGTCTGTTTGGGGCTGCATGTTTGACGTTTCTGATTTAGCCCTCATTTCTCCATCTTTTCCCAAAACAACCTGAGAAACTTTGTCAAATACTTTGTTAAATAATCTAGGTAGGCTTTATCTAGAATGTTATCCAAGTGTGCCAGTTTTAGAAATCCTGTGAAGAAAGGAAATGAGTTTAGTCTGATACAACCAGCGTTCTTTTCAAAGGTACTATGATGTCAGTCACTTACACTGCTGCCACTTACTCTGGACCATGAATTAAAGAGACGATTAAAGAAAGAACTGGTGAGGAGCCAAGAGACTAGTAACTTTTGAAGATACATACCTGGTCAAATGAGAAGAGAGTATGTTCCTTCACATCAAAAATTCCTTGCTTTTATCTTTGCTTCTGAGCGCTCATCTAGGAGAGTTTCTCTGAGCACCATCTTGAGCATTATTAACAATGAGTAGGAAGGCAGGGCAGGACATAGTACTCTGAGCCAGCTCTTTGTGCACATGTCAGAGGGGCAGCAGTGGTGCTAGCCCCAAGACAGCAGCCTGAAACGCCCCCCAAAGAGGGAGCACTGAAGAGTCACTCCAGGGTGTAGGCACAGTGGCAGTGTCTTTGGTAACGATGGCCATGGCAGGTGGAAAAGATAAAAGGCAGCCTGACTGAGTTGGGAGACAGAACATTCCACAACATTAAACAGCCAAAGAGGCTAAACCAGATCATCTTTCCAGTCAGCCATAATGACATGTTCTGCAAGGACATGCTGGAAGTTGATGAACTAGCAAAACTTGCTTATTTCAAAGATACTCCAGTGCAGTAGTGGGTGCAGTTTTCTGTAGGGTGGTTCATTCACAGAATCAAAAGAGGCTTTACATCATGATGTCTGGCACCTTACCAAAGGCTAGGAGGTGGAGCTAAACTGTTGAATCGTGTCTTAAACCTCTGGGGAAAAGATGGCACTTTTGACAACATCTGGCTGCATGTCCAAATCAGCAGTGAGTCTAGAACTGACTTCTATAGGAAATTTGGTGTTGAGATTACTTCAATGAAGAAAAATATTAAAAGAGGATAGAACCAGTTCCTTCTCTGTGCCAGAATTCAGATGTGCAAAAGTGCAAAAGACTAACAACTGAGCACATTGCAAATGAATTTTCTCGAACTTGCTTCTCACCAAGTAAAGGAGAGGCCCTTTGACTTCTCTTTCCTTGCCCTTCTAGAAGCTTTTTTCCCTGAATGCTATTTCCCTTCCTCTCTTTTGTTTCCTTCCCTCCAAAATTGTAATACTAATTCTTCAGACTGTAAAATGAATCATATTTGGTTTTGGTTTTTTTTTGCATGGGAGAGGGTTGTTAGGGTAGAGTAAATAAAAGCATGGAAAAACTATTTATCTTTTTATTTTCACAACTGGAAGGGACAGGTGGCCCTGAAAAAAATCAGATGTCTCAATTTCAGGTTTAATTCTGAGTATTTTTATGTCCTCCTTTCAGTGTAAAGGGCAAATATTAAAAATTATTTTTCTTCCCCCCCCAAAAAAAAAAAGAAACTGGGGGTTTGTGATGTTTGGGATTTAAAATAAAATCTAGGGGATACTTCACTCCCTGAAACATGGCTTTACACTCCACCTTTCAACCCTTCTGAGATTTTCAGGTATATGGAGCATTGTCAATGTAGTAAATACTAAGCAGGCGAGACCTCTTATATAAACCTGAATCCAGGTATTTGAGCCTTTATTGGACTGCTCATCATTCTATTAAAAGTATTTGAAGTGGGCTTAGGTGATGATTTGTGCATCTATCAGCCTTTTTTTTTCCTTAAAATTTGATCAGCTCATGCAAATTCCTAACCCTGTGGCCAGTTGAATATGAGGTACAGGACAAAGAATATGTGCAAATAATTGTTCTGAGAATTATATCAAAGGGATCTTATGCTTACCAATAACCTACCAGGAAACATCTCAAATTTGCTTATGCCATATGCCTGCCTGGTTTTCATTAAACACATTTCTATTCCTGACCATTATTCTCCCAGAAGCTATTAATAATACAAGTGTCACTGTGACTCCCTCTGCCCATTGAACTGGTTTTATATCATATTATTTTATGGCCTCTTAAAAGAAAATATTGACTAATTGACTAATACATAACTTTTTGCTAACCAAGAGCTATAGTAAATAGGTCCATGAAAATGAGAGGTGCACATGATTTCATGCTTCCTCTCATGATTCTACCTCCTGTATAATTTTAATTTTCAGAGTTGCCAATATTGATACCTAATACAGATGTTATTATTTAGACTTGGAGACATAAAACATAGGGTTTGAAATGTCTTTTGTTCTTAAGGATTCAATTGAATTATAGTATTTTTGTCCTCTTATGTAGTTTTGGTGCATTTGAAGAGATGACAGATTGCACAGGTCCCTTGTCACACAATTTCATAGGCATCTTAATTTTCAAGAGATACTGTATGAAATCACAACTTTCTTTATCTAGGATCACCTTGGGTTTCATAATTAGAGACTACCAAAGAGGGAGGTCTTTAATGAGTGAATCTAGTGATTCTAGTCATTGAACACACTGGATATCTACAGATTAGACTACAACAAGTTAAAGTTAAGCTGTGTCTAAGAGAAGAGGCACTAATTTTCATGTGCCAGATAAAGTTCAGATTGTGGTTCCTTAAATTTAAAAAAAACTGTGTTTGAGATAAAAACATATTTAGATTAGAGAATTTTCAGATTTTTTGTAAGCTTTCCCAAGCCAGTATAGGTTATATGTATCTGACTAATCTGAGACCAATTTTTACTCCCATTTCTGAAACTATTTGCATTGATCCATCATTACTCCTATGTGTCCCTTCAAAGTGATTATTGTAACCTATGTCACAGACTAGCTGCCTCATTATGAACAACTGCAAGTACAATTTATATAAGAGAAAAGAAAAAAAGCTCAAGAGTATATAGGTAGCCTATTGCAGGAAAGGACATACTATTGTGGGGAGGGGTTCCCCACATTACCATAAGGTTGAATCTGAAAGCTCTCATACCAGAAATTTTTGAGAGAATATGAAGGGCAGTAATGGTCATGAAACTGATAGCAAGCTTGCCCTTTGAGGAAGGGAAGAATTTGAAAGAGAAAAGAAAATGAAGAATATTCCTTGAGTCTCATTGAGGTCAATTGGATACTGAAATATATTGTCCACTGTGGATTTATTTTGGTATGTAGTAAAAGGTCTTTACCTCTGGTGTTTTCTTTTGGGAAAAGAGGAATCTCCTTAACTGGAAGACCACGAGGGAAAACATCCATTAATGTTTTAACAATTAAAAGTTTACTTAGGATCATCATAATCAACAAAGTTTTCAGAGGGGAGAGCATGCAAAGAAAAAAATCTATTCACATGAAACATTTATCCAGATATAAGTTTTCTGTGAGAAAAGTTGTTCTCAAACTTTTCCCAGTAGCTTAGTCACCAATTGAAACGATGAAAAATGTTAAAAACAGAGTTAACATAAACAGAACTGTCAGGAAACTAGTACAGAAAGAAAGAAAATCTCCCTCATTTGGGGGGAGGGAATAACTTTAAAAATATTTAAGTGGCTAAGTATACTTGATGAAGTTAAGGATTTAACATGACATTGCTCTTACCTCAGAAATAAACCTCAGTGAAAAAGAATGGGTTGTCATGTTTATCACTTGATATGTGATAGGTTTATCTTCTATAAATAGCTGCACACAAACTCGGAAAATGAGATGCTGAGAAATCTTCAGCCCTTCAGGAGACAGCCTAGCTTTAGGTTAGATAAAGCTCACCATTTCAAACTCCATTCTCTATGATTAATGGAGTATAGAATTCAAATCAAGGCAATAACCTTTGTTTCCAAGGCCCTAAAGTGAAATCAGATCCTGGCATCTCATTCTTTAACATCCCTTCAACCGCTGCTTAACTAATAGTCAGCAGTCACTTAGTGCGTTCAACCATGGAAAGAATTTGTCAGAGTCAAAGAAGGAGCTCCATCACCTCCTCAGACCTTGAAACCAACACAAAGCTGTTTGAACTCTAGTATTATAATACTTTGATTAATGCTAGAGGTTTATCTCCCCAGCAATAAAAAGCTAACCCTGAAGCTTTATTTTAAATGCTGTCTGTTCCTACTGTCCTCACCTTGATGGCATTTTTCTTTGATATAATACAGTTAATTAAACAATGGAATTTTATGCTTGAGTTCATCTATGTAATCTACCACATGCCTCCCAAGTCCACAGCATGAACTACAAATATGATGTGATACAAAAAGAGCAAAGTTCTCTTCTATTTCTGATGGACTGCAGTCCACCAAAACTAGCCATTCTGATCTTCTGTTAGTAGTTTTTATCCATGATTTGGCCTCATACCTTTTTCTCCCTAGTTATTCCTGTACCCCATATTTAGTTTTCTTTATGATTCTGGATTATTTATCCATAACTTTAACTTTGTACTTAAGAACTCTCCAGTGATTCTGCTCTGATAATTGAATTGACCTTTGGGTGGTTGAAATGGAAACATTAGTTGTCTTGAAGATTTGTAAATAAATAGCATACCACAAGCAGGCAAGAAAGGCATGATAAAGGATTACAGTTCATATGTAGGAGTAGTTAATGCAAAATAGGAAAGTTAGGAGATCTATTATCCAGGAATGTTGTTTTCAAGAAGATATTTCCTAACAGTTACTTCCTAAATATATTGCTCTGTTTTAATCCCCTTAGTATGTTTGTCCTACTGAAAGGAGCCACTAAGGAGCAGTCTTTTAAAATTGGTCAAGAGATTGCTGAAGCTGTTACTGCTACCAACCCTAAACCAGTAAAATTGAAGTTTGAGAAGGTAAGAAGAAATCTATTCTCATGCAACACTCATATTCCCATAGGAACAACAGATATCTAATTTAATAGACCTAGTTTCAGGATCATTCATATGTATCTCTAAAACTTTAAAACATTTAAAAAATATATGTTCTTAGTATACTTTTTGTCTGCATTATTTCAGTGGTGCTTTTATATAGGCAAAAATCACATTATAGGACTAGAGCTTAACATGAATGTTACCAAAAAAAATCGCTGCTGTGCACTGAACTATAATAATAGCTCACATTTATATAGCACCTTATGGTTTACACAACACTGAGAAAAAAATGGCACTCCTTGCTCTCAAGGACCATATAATCTAATAAGAGATTAACGTATGTACAAGTTATTACTTTATACAATAATATATGATAAGTGCCGTGTGGGTGATGTAGGGAAATACAAAGTACAAACAGAAGGAGAATCAGAGATCACAGCAGGCTGAGGTGATCAGGGAATAATCATACAAGAGATGGAAAAGAACTTGGGCCCTGGGGAGTGGTTAGGTTATCAGTAGCCTGAAGTGGATTAAAATCATTATTGCCACTGCTTGGGAAAGATCTTTGTAGGGCAAAAGGCATTCCAGGAAGAAGACAAACTAAGGCAAGAAAGCACTATCCATTGTAGAAGAGCAAATATTCCAAATAGTAAGCTAGAGTTCCTGTGGAGGAAGAATGGGAGTTAAGACTAGAAAGCTTACCCATTTGGGGCCAGATTGTGGGGGACAAGGAGGGACAGAAAGCCAGACTGAGTAATTTGCTTTTTGTCAGTGGGGAGCCATTAAAAATGAACTATTGATCATGGGAGTAACATATTCAAAGCAGTGCAAGTGGAAGACTGTCATGATGGTAGTACAGATTGGAATAAATAACAAGACAGGTGCTAGGGAAGCCTGTTAGGAGGCAATTGCAATGACTCAGGAATCAAGTGATAAGACTCTGAACTGGGGTGATGGCAAAACAGTTAAAAAGAAAGGAATGAATGGAGAAGACATTTTTAAGGAAGAATCAGCAGCACATAGTGATTAATTGGGTTCCAGGAATGAAGAAGAGGGAGAAACCAAAGATAAGATAATTAATAGAAATGAGGCAGAAATGGAGGAGCTGTTTTAGGAGTTAATGAGTTCAGTTTTTGTATATGTTGGTTTTAAAGTGTAGGCCAGAAATGCAGATGGACATATTCAGCAAACTACTGTAAATGTAGGCCTCAATGTTAGATGAAAAGACAGGTATGAAGCTAAAGATATAGGAATTATCCACCAAAAAAGTATTTGAAGCCATAGAAGTAATTAAATCAGTGATGAAAAAAAAGTATAGAGACATAAGAGGTTTCTAAGGGCGTAACCTTGAGAAAACACCCACATTTGAGAGACAGAAACAAAATACGTATATATAAAGATACACAGAAAAAGTGATTTTAAAATTCAGGAAGACAACAAGAAGAATGTCAGGGAAGCCACAGGAAGAAACAGTTTAAAGAAGGGGCTGATCAGCAATGTCAGATGCTATGGAGAAGTCAAGGAGAATGACTTACAAGAAAAGCCAACTGAGTTTAACAATTAGGTGGATATTTGAGAGAGCAATTTCAGTCTCATGAGAGGTCAGAAGTCAGTTCAAGGGGTCGAGGATAGGTATTTGAGGAAATGGAGGCAACAAGAATAGAATATTCTTGGGACAAATTTGGTGAAAAGTATGGAGAGTGACAGCACAGTAGCTTGAAGACAGTGATAGAGCTGAAGGAATATGGGGGAGAGGAAGAAAAGAGGGAGTTAAGAGAAAGCAATGCAAATTTGTAGGCAGACACCAGGAGAAAGGAAAGGAAGGCAGTCACGTAGGAGAGAGGATATTTGTTAGAATAAGTTCCTGTAGGAAGCCAAAGGGAATTAGATGAAGACCACAAGGAATAGGAGCTGGCCTTGGCCAAAAGGAAGGATACATTCTTCACTGTAACAGGAGGAAATTAATTCTGATACTTGGATATAATCTTCAAAATGTTTACTTAACTGGCTTCCCAAGTACCTCAGAATAATCGTTGCCTTGTATATTTTGTGAAATTTGATCATAAGGCACTCTACTGTGCATGCATCTGACTGTAATCCACATTTTTAGATTCATATTGGATCACAGATTTAGAACTAGAAGAAACCTCAAAAGCCATCTTGTCCAGTAGCCTCCTTTTGCTTGCCCAATGTCACATGGGTACTAAATAGTTTTTTGATGGAATAGAAACATAATTTTTGAAACAAGATGGCTTCCAATGGGAAGAGAATAGTGTAAGAAGGCATTTTGTTTTTCTCTGTAGGTATATTTGCCCTGTGTCTTGCAAACCAAAAAGAGGTATGTGGGTTACATGTATGAAACACTGGATCAAAAGGACCCTGTATTTGATGCAAAAGGAATTGAGACAGTTAGAAGAGACTCCTGCCCTGCTGTTTCTAAGGTAAACACTGGCTAGCTTCTCATCCTTTGAAGATGATGTGGCAGAGCAGACAGCTTGCTCATGAAAGCCAAACCACCACTGCTGTTGTTCTTGGTCATAAATAACAAGAAGGGCCTAGAGCACTGAATCATTCTATGGGGAATGCAAGTTTCATTTTAGCCATTAAGTCTCATTTTCTCTCACACCTCATCTTTTACTAGAGCTGCTGAAGAATAGCAAAGCAGCTCCTCATTTTACTGCCCATCCTCTAATGGAAGGATCAATGAATAGTAAAATTTCTAAAACATTGCGGAAAGGAGGAAAGAAGAGAAATTAGGGGCCTACAATATTCTCAGCCCCCAAATGAGTGAGAGCTGATTGCATTTGTATTTCATAAGCAACTACAAATAAGATTTCTATGCTACAGCAATTGAAACTTTACAAACTTCTCAACCATTTTAAATCTTAATTACTTTTCAGTTTTTTCCCCCACCCAGCTTAGTCTCTGAATACTGCTTCTAAATCAAGTTAAACTGGTGTTCTAATACAGTATAGTACTATCCACAGCAAGGTACATGAAAACATTAAATGCATACTGAATTGTAAACCATTTTTATTTGTTAATGTGTGGAGACAAGATATAGTTCAATAACTTAGTAGAGCTGAGTTGCTAAAAGATACCTTAAATATCAGAGTGAGAATGTCAGAGTTGTAAGGGACCTTGGAAATCTACCTACTCCAATCCCTTTTTTTAAAACCATCATCTATTCTTTCTCCTACCTGGACACAAAACTACATCTCAACCTAAATCAACCCCATGCCTTGTGTGTGTGTGTGTGTGTGTTTTATTTCGGCTAGGCATTAGGGTTAAATGACTTGTCCAGGGTCATACAGCTAGTAAGTATCGTGTCTCAGCTCAGATTTGAACTCAGGTCCTCCTGATTCCGGAACCAGTGTTCTATCTACTGCACCACCTAGCTGCCACTATGTGTACATATTTTGAATAAATTAATTATCCCACATTTTTAATATTGACAGGCCCCAGGACATAGTAATAAGATGCAGAACCTTTCACTTGTACTGGTTTAAACTTAATCCAGGTCTGTTAATAAAGGCTGATATTATCCAGTGAGTTGTTTATTGTTCTTTGTGAAATAAGTTTAGTTTCCACCAAATATATGTCCAATTCAGAAGTCTTTATCCTACCACTAATTTTCCAAGACTGCTAAAAGACCAAAGACTGAATAAGCAGTGAAATTTGACATTCTCCTTCAGTGCCTTTCTGTATCAGAGTAACACCAGTACAAAGATGCAAAGATGAAGAATTGCAAATGTATGAAGTCAAGCCAAATTTCTTATGTCTCCATTATGTCAGCTCTCTTATAAAAACCTATGAGTTTTTCATTGTTTAGGCTCTGTTTCTGATCACACTGAAAATTTCTTACAGACATCTCATTCTAGGTTGATTTTTATAAGAAGTTTTGTGTTGATTTTTGTCACTATGAAAGGGAAAAACAATTTTGAAAATTCTAGTAATTTTTCATACAGATAGTATGTATGACAGATTAAGTAATTTGACAACTTACTGAGAATTTAAATTATAATTGATATATAGTGTATGAAGAATATATCCCTAACCAAAAGTATGAAATGGTGTCATAACACATTTTATCTTCTTTTTAAGATACTTGAGCGATCTATCAAGCTGCTATTTGAAACAAGAGATATAAGTCAAATTAAACAGTATGTTCAGCGACAATGTATTAAGCTACTAGAAGGGAAGGCCAGCCTACAAGATGTTATCTTTGCAAAGGAATATAGAGGGAGTTCCTCTTACAAACCTGGAGCCTGCGTGCCAGCTCTTGAGCTTACAAGGTAATGATTATACGTGGCAAGGGATAGAACAGCTGTTACTCTTTATCTCAGAAGACAGTGTCACATAACAAGAGTTGGGTACCAAGTATTGCTCATAGGTGCTAAATAAATGAATAGAAATCCTGTCTAGAGGTTAGTGTTTCACAGCAAGTATCAAAAGCCCTTCAGAGCTTGGCCAAAGGTACAAGCAGAGATATCTTCTCACCCTTTTGCTTGAGTCCCCAAAAAAAGAAATAGCTTCCCACTCTACCTATGCATTCACTGCCTGTATAAGGTCTGGAGAAGCACTGTGCAGGTGGCCTCTCTTTATTTTGTGGGAAGATCACCCTTTTTGTTATTCCTATTGGCAAATTGACATGCTGAATTCGAATGGAAGTAATTTATAGGCTAATGTAGAATCTGTTTCTTTTATATGCTTCACAACAACATAACTTGATTATTTTAAAGCTTTTTCAGATGCATAAATTTCTCTACTAAGGCATTTGAGAAGGTTGCTTCGCTTTCTGAAATAAGAAGGAAAAAAAATACTTGACATTTACATTTACATTTAAATACATCATCTCATTTGATCTTTGCAACAAGCAAGTTAAACAGGCCAAATTCTCAGTTGACGTTTATCATTATGTTTATGGTATTTGGAACTTCCTGTTATAGTAATTCTCACTGACATTGACTAACATGTTTTAAGTCAATTGATATTGTAAAGTGTGATTTCTTAAGAGCTTTATTTTACAGGTAGCCATGCCTTTCGATGGACACAGCTAGGTGGTGCAGTAGATAGAGTACCAGGTGTGAGGTCAGGAAGGCTCATAATCCTGAGTTCAAATGTAGCCTCAGATACTTACTAGCTGTGTGACCCTGGGCAAGTCACTTAACCCTGTTGGCCTCAGTTTTCTCAAATCTGTAAAATGAGCTGTAGAAGGAAAAGGCAATTCACTCTGGTATCTTTGCAGTAAAACCCCAAATCAGGTCATGAATAGTCAGACATGACTAAAACGACTGAATATTAACAACAAAATGCCCTTCAAGAGACTCATGTCCAAAAAAAATTTAAGTTATGTAATACAGAATAATACATGATGAATGCATATGAAGAGTATAGAGAAGTGAAGTATTTTTTGTGAAGTCTTGAGGGGAAAAGTCACTAATGACTTTGGTCAGAGATTTTTTTCAGGAAAGAAGTAGCTGAAATATAGAATCTAGAGCTGGAAGGGACCTGAGGAAGCGTCTAGTCCAGCAGTTCTAAAGCTCTTTGGCTTTTAGATCCTCTTTAATGACTGAGGCTTGGGAGTTGAGCAAAGATGGGGAATAAAAGCAGGGATTCACTTGAGCTCTCCCCCAAACCCTACCAAATAAGTTGCCCAAAATGACTCTAAACAAATTACATAGCAGAACCCACAGAAAGACAGAGTGAAACAAATTTCCAGCCCAAGACAACCTAGATGGTCAATGGGAAAGGTCTGTTGTACTGGGCTGGGAGAGGAGTACAATCCAGTGTGGGCCACGCCTGCGTAGACCTGGCCCTAGTGGCCTGGAGCAGGAGTCAAGGGACTGAATCACTGGCAGTTTCCAAACTTCTCAATCCACAAACACCAAAGACAACTTAGAAGGTCAGTAGGAAATTTCTGTCGGACCTGGGTGAGAGATGAGTACCTACCTGCCAACCCCAGCCTCAGCACAGCCCCAGGGGGAGGCAGAGACAGCAGAAGTAGCAGTGGCAGCGGCTGCTTCCAGAGATCTTGGGCCACAGACAGTGAGGGGATTGAACAACTGAATAGAAGATTACAGGGATCTCTTTGGTGGTACTGAGGCAAGATTCTGTTGCTTTGCCCATATTTGGATCTGGGTCACAGCCCTGTGTGACAATCCTAGGGCAAGGAGGAGGAGCACTGGCATAGCAGAGCATGTGGCAGCAGTGGTGAGGCAACCCTCTTCACAGTTCCAGGGCAGAAAAGAGTGCTTATGGTCACTCACAGACTAGAGCACAGGCCAGGAGTGGAATAAATATCTCTTCTTAGATCATACCACCTTGGAAGAACTGAAAACTTGCAGGCTGTAGATGTATCTCTGAAAAGAACTACATAAAACCCCTGAGGCTTGGGACAATATGCCCTACACCCTGGAAGCAGAGCCCTACCTTAACAAAGAGTTAAAAAGTCAAGTAATTGGCTGGGAAAATGAGCACACAGTGGGCAAAATGAGCACATAGCAGGGAAAAAACTCAAACTATAGACTCTTACTTTGGTGACAAAGAAGATCAAAATATACACTCAGAAGAAGACAACAGAGTCAAAGCTCCTACATCCCAAAGCCTCCAAGAAAAATATGAATTGGTCTCAGGCCATAGAAGAGCTCAAAAAGGATTTTGAAAATCAAGTAAGAAAAGTAGAGGAAAAATTGGGAAGAGAAATGAGAGTGATGCAAGAAAATCATGAAAAAAGAGTCAACAACTTGCTAAAGGAGACCCAAAAAAATACTGAAGAAAATTAAAAGACTGAGGATCCTAAAAGACTGTTGTCTATGTGGTTCTATCTAACGATATTTAACTATATTCAGAATTAAAACATCTTGGGTTCTGTTTTAGTAAGGCATTGAACTTCATGAGGTCCAAGTTCTGAAGAACATATTATGCTTTTAGAATATTTTGATATTTTTACCAACATACATTTTGTAAAATGCGAAACACAGCTCCTCTTTTTATTTTTAACGAAAGAAAAATCTGAAACACAAATCATTTAAATCAATTATGTAATCTTTTGTCTTAAAAAATTATGCCTTTAGTTAATGTAACTTTAGGTTTTAGTTTGCCAGACTTCAAATATTTCCTTATTTGAAGTTGTCTCTTAATAAAGCAATCACAACATATAGTATACAAAACAATTATTGGAATAGGTTTTCACTATGAAGTCTAGACTAAACAGTGGGTATTGTCTGCTTTCAGTGATTAGATAAATTATGGCTTTGAACCTAGAAAGTATAGTTTAGTTCTCTTTTAAAATTATTAGTGAAGAGTTTTTAAAAATCTTTTAACAAGCACTTACTGACTTTTATTTCATGGTGAATGTTTAACATATAAAGCTTAATTCTGTGCAGCTCATTCGCCAAATACTGGTACTGGCTACTTACAGTAAATGCTGTGTGATGTGCTGCAAAACATTATCAACTTGCTGCTTGATGTTAGGTTTACATTGAATTAGACTTGTGTTATTATAGTACTTTTTTGTGCAAAGATTTATCATGTCTTTTGGAAATGTTGAGGAATGTCTATAAGTAATTATTCTGCCTCTTCAGTGGTCAAAGTCATAACTGTTAGATATTGTACCTGATACTTTTGTGGTTTGTCTTTATCATCATATTTCTTTCATCTGTTTCATTTTAAACTGACTTTACATAAAATAAATAAAAATGGAAAGCAATTTAAAAAAATCTTTGTAGGATTAGGAAAATAGTTTTTGGTTTTGTTTGTTTTGGGGTTTGTTTTGTTTTGTTTTTTAAGGCAGTTGGTGTTAGATGACTTGCCCAGGGTCACACAGCTAATAAATATCTCAGGCCAAGATTTGAACTCAGGTCCTTCTGAGTCCAGGCTAGGTGCTCTGTCCACTGTACCACCTAAATGCCCCAGGAAAGTAATTTTGACCTCAAAGATCACCAGATATTCCCAGACCATACTTTAAGAACCACTGATCACATCCAGCCCTGCTGCTTTACAAATGAGCAAGCTGAAGATCCTAGGACGACAAGTGTCTTGCCCCAGGTCACAAAAGCAGTCATTGTCAAAGCCAGAATTTGAACCAAGCCTTCCATTTCCAGATCAGTGCTTTCTCCCACTACATTATAGTTGGGTTTAAAAGGACATAGAGGTATTCAGGGCACTTTAGGACTAGAGAACATTGTGACAAAAGGTATCTATTGTAATACAATTTGAGGGGAGCATATATATTACCTGGAAGAAAGTGATATGAGATAAGGGATGGTTAAAGTGAGGCCAAAGCATGAGAGTGACATTCCTTGAATGTGAAACAAGAGTTTGAATATTATTCAGTAGGTAAGAGGGAGCTGTTAGAGGATTTTGAGCAAAGAAGTGACATAAACAGTCTGTGCATAAGGAGTAAGCCCCAAAGGGTTAGGATATTACCTAGTATCTGTGAGAACTAGGTAGTGCAAAGGGAGTAGCCCACATTACTTCCAAGTTTTTTGTAAATTCTTTAAAGAGTTACATTTCTGACTTGGGAGAGGTTTGCTTTTCTAGGATACCACACCTTCATGTTTAGCTATAGTACCTTACTTAAATTCAGTAGTTTTTGCAAAGTGAGTGTATACATTTGTATATTCTTTTAAACAGGAAAATGCTTGCTTATGATCGACGCTCTGAACCACGAGTGGGAGAGCGAGTACCATATGTCATCATATATGGCCTACCAGGGATACCTTTAATCCAGTTGGTAAGGCGGCCAGTTGAGGTCCTACAAGACTCCAGCCTAAGGCTGAATGCAACCTATTATATTACAAAGCAGATCCTTCCACCCCTGGCAAGAATATTCTCACTTATTGGTATTGATGTCTTCAGTTGGTACCATGAGTTACCAAGGGTAAGTGTATCAGGTATTCATTAGAAGTTCTTATGAAAATGAAAGTGATGTTTATCTGAAATTACAGAAGCAAAAGCAGATAGGCATTTTGCAAATTCTAATGGATTCTGATCATGTAAATGAAAACACTGGCATGTCCGAATTGCTTAAAAAAGGAAAATTGGAATTTTCTACAAACCACTTTTCAGGTTCTTCCAGGTTGCCTTGATGGCAGAAATGTTAAAATAAAAGATTCACTGAATAGGAAATAGACTTAACTATTGGATAGCTATACATGAAGTCTTTAGTAATAGAAAATATGAATGTAGGAATGAGAAAATGCCTTTAAAATGGGCAAAATATGCTGTATTCATTGTGAAGTATTGTGATGGAAAAGGATCACATGCAGCATAGGTTTTTAGAAAAGGAGACTTAACCTTAATGGGTTCATTAAGGGTTCACTGGAATAATGAAATAAAAAGTTTTTCCTAGCAATTCATTAATGTAACACATGAGATGATTTTCCTTAGAACTACAGTGGGGTTTGGTCTTTTTAACTAATGAATAAGACTGTCAATTATTCCAAGTCATTTGGCTTAGAAAATGTTTGTGGATTGACCGTACTCTAGGATTCTCTGTATAACTTCTGTGCATGAGTTCAGATTACAGAAAGTAGATGGAATGAAGCAGGCTATTAACCTAAATCTTGTTTTACTTCTTTAACTCCTTAGGTTTTCAGCCTAAAGTATAATAACTGTGAAAAGTTCTGTTTTGGGGTTGCTTGACAGAAAACTTGAAGTAGTCATCCATAATCTTACCAATCAATGAGAGGTTATGGATTATTGCTTCAAATCACATTGCTTTGGTGGACACTAATTTTTCAGCAGTGTTTGTTTCAAGTGTATCACTATCATGCATGTAGAGCTGATAACATTTGTGGAAGATTGACTTAAAACTCATTTGCAAATATTTGGTTAGAGGCCTAAAAAATAGCTCAAAGAAGGATATGAAGTACTGTTAGTATAATGTTATTTTCAACTGTAAGAAAAGTAAAAGCAATATTATTGTGTTACATATTATGTATTACATAGTGTGAATTACATATAAGCAAGTTGTATGGGAACACAACACTGCTAATTAAAATTAAAATATATTGGGCTCATCCGGTCATAATTTTTAAAATATAATGCATTAACCTTTGTCCCTCACTCCCTAAGATGGAGCCTGAAAATTATTTCATACCCTTTTCTAGTCTTGTTTCCAGTGGCCCATCCTTTGCTATGCTTCTATAAATATTCAGGCACTCCCATGAGTACCACCTCTTTGAGGTGACACACACCTTCGTATCCCAACCATATAGTTTACTGGCAAGCAACCATTTTAGTCTAGAGCAGTAGTTCTGAAGATATGGTCTAGGGTTCCCCGAGATTGTTTCAGGGATCCGTGAGGTAAAAGCTGTTTTCATAGTAACACTAAGATGTTTTCATATCTAAAATGGTAAATATTGATAGATATAACCATAAACCAAATCTCTTTGGCATTCTCAATAATTTATGAGTGTAATGTGGTCCTGAGATCAAAAAGTTTAAGAACTGCTGATCTAGAAAACTGCAGTCCCTGGAGATGTACAGAACCTATTATTACCATGACTATGGTAAACTGGTAACTAGGACTAGAACTATTGATCTCCCTAGTGTAACTGGTTGAGATTCATTCATTCTGAATTTGTCTGTTTCCAGATCCAGAAAGTTACCACCTCCTCCTACAGTGAACATGAAGGCAGAAAAGGCACCATCTCACAATATTTCACTACCTTACACTGTCCTGTGTGTGATGAATTAACTCAGCATGGCATCTGTAGTAAATGTAGGAGCCAACCACAGCATGTGGCAGTGGTTCTCAACCAGGAAATTCGAGAGTGGGAACGTCAACAAGAACAGCTGGTAAAGGTAACAGATCCAGAATCTGAAATAAGCATTTTCTTCCATGGCAGTTGAATCAACTCAGAAGCAGAACACAGCATATTTATTTCAATTCAACAAGCATTTACTAAATGTGAGGCACTGTGTTAAGTGCTCGGCACGTACTATATGCCAGGCACTATGCTAAGTGCCCCCAGGGACTTAAATACTATTCAGAGTAAAGAGGAATGTGGGATACAAGTACATAGAAAATGTAATATAAAATACATACAGAGTAATTTGCAGTGGAGGGCACATATCTAATATGAAGACATGGGGGTCCATAGGTCACACTGGAAGGATAGAATGGAGTAGGACATGAATGTGATGGGAAGAGTGGAATAAACTAGAAACTTTGTATCTTTGGAGTATTCAAAGCTGAATTAAAATATAAGTAGTAGTTAAATCTGTTTTATAATTAGCAGCCATCCTCATGAGAAAGACGATGGAATGATATTAAGTCCTAGAACTTGGGCTGAAATTACACATATCAGCAGCCGCATTAGTGTATATTGACACTAAAGAAAAATATTTTTGCATCTGCTCAGATATACCACAGTATTGAAAGAATCCAAGAAAAAAGGTCTAACTGCCCTCTTCAGCTCACCATGTGCTTCACTGCATAGTTTTCCTGTGGAACTACTTCAAACATAGAAAGCTAGTGATTCCACTAGGTCAGATTTCTACAGAGAGAACCTTTCAGGTCCGTAGTTTGGAAAAATAACATCAATAAAAAGACGACAACAAAAAATTTTTTTGTTGTAAATTAGAAGTAGTGGTCTGATAGAAAATGATCACAAATTTAAAATATATACAGAAAATATTTCATTTAAGCATTAGGATATTTTATGTAGGATTTAGATTTGAAAAGTTGTGCTTTAAAGTCTTACATATTAATACTATAAAGTGGATAATGTGAAATCACTCTAGAATAATAAATCAGGGACAGATTATGATGAATTCATAAATGGAAAAAGAGAACTTGTATTCTTTCACAGAGGCAGTAGGGAGCCGTTAATGTCTCTTGAGTGGGAGAATGACACAGTCAGACCTATACTTTAAGAATATCAATTTGGCAGCTGTGTGAAGGCTGGATTGGAGAATAAAACACACAGACTCTTTGAGTGATTGGCTCAACAATAGACTAGCTGTACATAAAGTGGTTCTCAATAGAAAATGTGAATAAAGGAAAGACAAAGTGCCTTTAAATGGGCAAAATGGATTGAATTTGTTGCAAAATAACACGATGGCAAAAGATCATAGGCAGTATGGGATTTTGGAAAAGGAGCCTTAATCTGTTTAATAACTTCACAGGGAGGCCAGTTAGGAAACTGTTAAAAGTAGTCCAGAAGAGAGGTGATGATGACTTGGACTAGAGTAGCAGTTGTGTGAATAGAGAAGAGCTGCATGTAAGAGATACTGTGGAGTTAAAAGCAGCAAGATTAAGCAACTACTTCCTCGTTAATATGGAGTTTGGAGAGGGGGTAAAGGGGTAAGCAGTGATAAGAGATACTAAGGAGTCAATGTTTACTCCAGTCTTGTGAACCTGAAAGACTTGCCCTGAGCAAAGATAGAGAAGTTAGGAAGAGAGATAGAGGCTTAGGTAATGAATTCCATTTTGGACATGCTCGGTTTGAGAGGCCTATGAGATGTCTTCATGGAGATTTCTTCTCTTTTTTTTATGTATTTTAATTTTCAGCATTCACTTTTATAAAATTTTGAGTTCCAAATTTTTTCTCCCTCCCTTCCTCTCCTGCCCTCTCCCCAAGACTGCAAGCAATCTGATATAGGGTATACATGCACAATCACATTAAACATATTTCCACATTAGTCATATGGTGAAAGAAGAATCAGAAGAAAAGGGAAAAACCACTTGGTGGAGATTTCTAGCAGGAAGTTTGTGATGCTGATCTAGGTCAGGATGAACATGAAAGCTTGATGTAGATTTGAGAGTCGTAATCTACATAGAGATGATTGAGTCCATTAGAGCTGATGAGATCACTAAGAAAGATTATAGAGAAAGAAGAGAAGAGGGGCCGAGACAGTCCTGGAATTCACTCATGCACAGGGGATGGACATGGATAAGGATCCAACAAAGCAGACTGAGAAGGAACAGTCAGACAGTGGGAGAACCAAGAAGTGGAGGCACAAAAACCCAGGGAGGAGAGAATATTCAGGAGAGAGAGTGGTCAATAGTGTCAGATATTGCAGAGTGATAAAAAAAAGGATAAGGACTCAGAAAGGACCATTGGGATTTAGCAATTAAGAATTCATTAGTAACTTTGGAGATAGCAATTTCAGTCAAATGGTGGGTTTGGAAGCAAGCCTACAAGAAGAAATAGGAAATATGTGAGAAAGTGGAAGCAATGAGCAAAAACAGGTTTTTCTGAGAATTTTACAATAAGGGAGAGAGGAATATAATGTGATATTTTCAGGGGGTGGCAGAGTCCAGTGGAAGTTTTTTAAGGATGTAGGAGATTCTGAGTATGTTTGTAGCTAGTGAAAAAAGAGAGAAGGAATAATTGAAGGAGCAAGCTCGTGGAGAAAATGAGGGGATAAAACCAAGAGTACAAGTAGGAAAAAAGAGCCCCCTCCAAGACTGCAGGCAAAGGAGAAGACACTGGGGGCGTGATGTTGAAGGGAGATAGATTGACAGACAGTAGTACTCTATGTGCCATGCACTGTGCTAAGCAGTAGCAATGTGAAAACAAGAAACAAGATGTCCCTACTCTCAAGGAGTTTACACTCTAATGAGGGAAGACAGCACATAAGGAGGGAGGAAAGGTGGAAGGCAGGGGAAAGGGAGAATGGGGTGCTTGGCTCAGGAGAAGGCAGCCCCTGAGGAGAACGAGCTCAGGAGGGAAGGGAGCAATGTGGCTGATATGATGATATGGACTCACCAGTCATCAAATTCCTCTCAGGATGGAGCCATTGCAGGTGGAGGGTGTGGTGTAGCCATTGTGAAAAATGAACCTAGGAGGAAAGGGAATAGTGTGCCTGGACTTAGATATGGTAGTTCCAGGGAAGGCCATAAGGAATAGAATTAGGAAGAAGAAGGAGCTCATTATGAATAACCTCAGTTTTTGTGGTAAAATATAAGACAAGGTCTTGTGCTGCCTGGAGGAAAGGGGGATATAGGGTAGGAAGAAAGTACAGAACTATGTTGTGAGAAATGTGATTGATAAGGAATTGATCAGGGAAGAGTAAAAGGATTTCCAAACAATAGTGAGGGCCCAGTTGAGTTTAGATAACCTAAATATGGCACACACTGTTGTGTGACTTGCTTCAGCTGTTGGGGGAACAGAGGCAGTGAAAGGTTAGGGTATGAAAAGGGATTTGTGGTGATAGGCAAAGGAGGCAACAGTATAAATTTGAACTGCCTAATGTATAGCATCATTATGAGGATCATATCTTTAGGAAAAAAATGAGGCCAGAATAAGGGTGATGGTTTGGGAAAGAAGCATGAGATAGAGAGAATAGAAGTTGTTGTGAGTACAAAGAATGTATTTTAAGAGGGGCAAGACAGATACAGAGAGAGACAGAAAGGAGGAGGTTATGTCCAGATACTTGTAGTAATAAAATCAAGGGTATAACCATAGCTGTATGTGGCTAAGGTGTAGTAAGGATGAAGATCATGGGCTTTGAGTTGGTTGAATTGGGGAGCAAGGGTGTTTGAGGGGACACCAAACTGCCTGAACAAAGCAAAGTGACTACAGTTTGTGCTGCCTGAAAATTCTGGGACTCTTAAAAGAATGTTAAGTCGAGTTTAATCAGGACATCGCAACTATAATAATCAGATTATTCCCTCACAAGTGGTATGGTTAGGGAAGCACCATTGTTCTTTGTACCAACACAACCATTTGTCTAAAGTTGTTTAGCTGTCCATACCCATTTTTCTTGATTTTTAAGTTTATGATTAATTTAAAATGTAAAAAACACTGTCATATAGTTTTCACTTTCAGTCTCACAATAATCATAAATTTTATGCCATGCCTTGTGGTAACTGACCAGCTCTCAATGAAAGTTTTCTTGATGTCTTGTGGCACCAAGTGGTACTGGAATTAAATGTCTTCTCACTATCAGACTCTGCAAAAGAACTGTCGCATCAAACAAACACTGCAATATGCCTTAAGTTAATGTTTAATGAAAAAAACCAAATTTGTTTTTTCCAAAAGGCTTTCTATCCCCAAGTACATTGTAAAGCAATATCATAATGAGCATCCATACAGCCTTAAACAAATATTCTACTTGACTGGGTACAGTTCCTCCAAGAAGATCGGTGGAGGTCAGAGGCAGCAGCACACGATGTCTTTCCAGTCCTTCTCACCTTCTGATCTTATCTGCAAAGGCAACATAGGTTCTTTGATACCATTGCTTTAAAGTCCAGCTGAATGCTGTTTACTAAATTTTCCAGCAAAAGATCTTAAAACTGAACATTTCATTGAATTCAATGAAGCAGGTAATTCCATCTTAACTTATTTATCAAGGAAGCATAGAGAGTTTAATTAAATCTTTATTGATTTGTTCTGGCACCTGGGTGTAGCAACAGAGAGCTGCAATACAGGAATTATATCTGGGAGCAGATTTGAGTCCCTAGGCAGTGCTCTAATGAGAGAAAAGCCTTTGTCGTGGAACAGCTGTGCTCATATTTCATACAGAACAGTGAAACATACATGCCTTTGCAGTCTTGCTTGTCAGCAGCAGAACAAATAATGCTTACAGGAAACAGCCGAGCTGCTGCTGCTGCTGCTCTGTGCCTTTGTGCCTTTCTATTAAGTAGGAAGGAGAATTCAGATTTTTTCCAACTTCATATCCCACATATTGTTCAAATATAAGCTTTTAGTTACATTAAAAGAAGAACTCTTCCATACCTGTTCTTTTTTAGGAGGAAAAGATTTTAGAAAGGCTCTTTTATAACTACAAAATGGGATATTCAGGCCATTATAGTGGATTCTCTCTCAGTATAGTTCAACCCACACATCTGTACTTCTGCATAGAAATAAGGTCCTATGTAGTCTGTTTTCTCTCAGGGATTGAATTAATATATGTTCAGTTATGTTCAACCAAAAACAGGCACTGATCCATCCCCAAGCTAATTAATAGACACCTAAAGAAACTGCCATTCCTAAACTGCCATTTCTTTCTAATTTTCTGGCTTGTGTGTAACCCTTCTTTGTATAGTTGTAAAAGGACCTTCTTTCAAGGAGCTTAACACAATCAGTAGATTAACTCAATTACTATTTCTATAATCTTTTAAAGTGATTTTCTTTAAAAATATAAAGACTTAGACATGAAATTGGAAATAGAACCTAGTTCTCCTGGCTTTCTTATCCAGTGATGTGTAAAAAGTTTTCTAAAAGAGCTGTCCAGAATTAGAATGACCAGTATCAGAAGGTGTAGTCAGCTCCCCGTCACAGGTCTTTCTAACAGAGGCTGGACGGCCATTTGTGACGGATGCTGCACTTGAAGAGGAATCCCCTCAATGGGTTGATCTACATGATTTTTGAGTTTCAATAATTAAAAATTCTGTGATTCCCTAATGTGTATACTTAATACTATTCAAATGTTTTTCTTTTTTAAAAAATTTTGTTTTATTTATTTTCTTAAGGCACAGCTTTTTTTTTTAAATTCTAAATTCTCTCCCTTTCCTTCTTCTCTACCCAGTGACAAAGCAAGAAAAACAAAACATTTTCTCCCCCTTCCCAAGACGGCATGCAAACTGGTATAGGATACTTATACATTCATATTAAGCATATTTTCACATTAGTCATGATGTAAAGAAGAATTAGAACCAATGGGAGGAACCACAAGAAAGAAGAATCAAAACAACAAAAGAAAAGGAGAGCAAATAGTATGCTTCCATCTACATTCAGATTCCTTAGTTCTTTCTCTGGATGTGGATAGCTTTTTCCATCTTGAGTCTTTTGGAGTTGTCTTAGATACTTTGCATTGCTGAGAAGAGCTAAGTCTATCAAAGTCAGTCACTGCACAGTGTGGCTGTTTCTGTGTATAATGTTCTCCTGGTTCTGCTCTTGGAGAGCATTTCCAAAACAACTGGTTTCATTAGTAGAAATACTCAGAAGGAGAAGGGTGTTCTCTGACAAAGAGAACATGAGACTTCATGGTTTCCTGGTGATGTTTCACAAGCTATAGCTAACTACCTCATGTTGTACCTGTATCAAATTCATCCTTTCAAAAATATTGGTAGCTCAGTCAACTACATTCGCTCATAGAAATGCTTTGTTTTTTCAGTTACTATTAGGTCATTAATAAAGATGCCCTCTGATATTTTCACCCTCTCAAGAAACATGGTCTAGCATCAGACAGTGTTGGTACCAAATTAAATCCATCAGCTAAGTTAAATCCATCAACAAGGGTTGAGTGCATTTATTAAATGCCTGCTGTATATCAGGTGCTTTGCTAGAAGCTGAGAATACAAAGCCAAAAATGAAATCATCCCTACCTTCAATAAGCTTATACTCTGTGGGAAGAAACAACATATACACATAACAAGGTGATTTTGAAGAGGAGGCACTAGCAAGTAGGGAATCAGGAAAGGGGCTTCCTATAGAGAGTGACATGTGAGCTGAGTTTTAAGGGGAACAAGGTACTCTTAAGGGACAGGATTGAAGGGGAAAATTCATTCCGTGCCTGGGGAGCAGCCTTTGCAAAGACAGAGATGAGAAAGAATGTGTCATATGTAAGAAACAGTAGGAAAGCCAGTTTAGTTGAACCCAAGAGTATGTGAAGGGGAGTCCTGAGGCCAGAAAAGGGAAATTGGCTAAAAAAGCACACATTCTTTCTGTTAACATTCTGTAAACTACAAAAGTGGAAACTAGTTTGCTTATTGGTTAATCATTTTTAGCAAATGTACATTGAGGTGAAGGAGGCACAGTCTGGAAGTCTTTTTGGCAAAAGAAACATAATTTTTTAGATGCCAGGGTACTCTAATTTAACTGAATTATGGCATGAATTGTACAATAATTTGTAAATTTTTCATCCGGAAAGAATTTGATCAGTTAAGCTTTTCTGTCCTATAGACATTCTTTGAAAGTTCTTTCTGATCCATCAGCTTTGCTGAGCCATCCCTTTTCTTTGCTTTTTCATGTTGTGTACAAATCCTCATTTTCTCCTTTAAGCACATCTTTGTTTCTACCCTTCAGTTATCACTAGAGAAAGCCTGGAAGCCCTATCATAAAATATAATCTGCAGTATACCTAGAACTTTTCTGCTATTCACGTATACTGGGTTCTACCGTACTCTGCTATATCTTGGTTTGTTTGCCTTCTCTTACAGTGAATGTTCTGTTCCCAAAGACTGCTGGATTATACCAGCTAGCATGTCCACATGTGATAATGACTTACTTGTGAGGCTGTTTAAATAAGTAGAAATTAGATTGCTCTTTCATAAAGTGGCCAGGTGTAGAATTATCTATTCTATGGCTGATTTACTTTCAGTGTGGCACAAATTGATAACTTTTAGGTTACCTAGCTATACAGGACCATTTGTTCTTAGATTGCAAAGATGCTCTGGCTTCTTTTCCCTTTCCTGGTGGCTGGCTTTCTTCTTCACTCTCAGTGTGTACTTATCCTTTTGGCTTCTACTTCTCCCGTGGTCTTTGGTTTCCATGCCAAGCAGCTTAGTTCTTATGGTGTTTGCCAGCCAATGAGAGGATGCTTTTATTTCTGGTGAACATACTGAAATGACCACTATAAAATGTTTTGGCCTCAGGTTCACTGCATTATTGCAGGTATGATGTCCTGTGCATATGGGTATTTTCAGATGAACTATAGGTCCACAAAGATGTTAAAAAATAAATGAAGCCACATGTAAGAAAGCCATGTGAAATGATGAAAGATTGTATGGTGTGAGGAATCACCTCTTGTGTGATACAAGGACAATTAGATTTAGAATCAGAGTGCCTACGTTTGGATCCTTGCTGTCTTTGGCACCTTGTAAATGATCACTTAGTCTCTCGATACTGTTTCCTAATCTGTAAAATGAAAGAATTGGATTAAATTACCTTTAGACCCTTCCAACTCTAAATTCATCCTGTTCTTTATATCAGACTGTCCTGTCCTGTGAGCATAGGGAGGCTTTTGGAAAGTCCTGCCTGTGTTACTATACCTACCTAAGAGGAGCCACAGCAAAGGTTCTTCCGAGAAGGTTTCTAGACAGCATATCCTGACAAAAATCCTTAGGGCCACTGGCTATATGTAGACCTGACCTTTTATTTTATAGATGAGGAAAGTGAATTTAGATCTTCAAGGTACCCAAGATTTACATTTTTGAATCCTGTAATCTCTGGTGTAAATTAGGATCATTTTGCTGAGGAACACAGACATAAAATGTTAAAACTGGAAACCAGTCAACAAACATTTATTAAGCACTTACCATGTGCCAGGGATACAAAGAAAGCCAAAAATACAGTTCCCACCCTCAAGATGCTCATGTTCTAATAGGAAGACAACATGCAAAAAATTATACATATAAGACCTATACAGAGTTGCCTTTGAAAATGGGGCCAATTGTCACACTTAGGGAACCAAGGACTTGGCATAAAAATTACCAATTACTAAATGCTGGTTGACTTTACCCATTCGTGTCATTAAATGGTTTATCGTGGGATTCTAACAATAGGATTCTGTTGTCAATGAAGGAATATTATGCAGAAGAAATTAACAGGGGAGGAAATGTTGGCCTCTAAGTTTCAGGGACCTTTACAAAGTTTGTAAGAGCACGGTAGACCCAGGGCTAGAGTAGGATTCTTAATTCTCAGTTCTCCTCATCATGTATCCAAGTTGTGTGAGGCAACACTCTTTAGGACAGAAACTGCCTGAATTTTACATTTAGAAGTGTTTATATTTAGAATTGTTCTTCTTGCTTTACATGGCTTTCCTGTACTTTCAGATATGCAAGAACTGTACAGGCTGCTGTGACCGACAGATCCAGTGTGTTTCACTGAACTGCCCAGTACTTTTCAAACTCTCCAGAGTGAGTCGAGAATTGTCCAAGGCCCCATATCTCCGCCAATTGCTAGACCAATTTTAAACAATCAATGTTACAGGATTCCAGGTGCTAATTTTTTCATTGTTTACCACTGAGCTGTTGTGCATGGTGCTTTTCCAACTTTCATCAAGTCAAGGACTCGTCATTGTCTGAAGAATATGAAGACCTTTATGCTAAAGATTATACTTGTGAATCTCTGAATAGCTCATTTCTTAAGATATATAAATTCCTCCTTTCATGTTTTTAACATTCTGTTTTATAATGCAGATGTTGAATTAGCTCCAGTATGTATGTGTAACATCTTGTAAATCCATTGACTGTGTCATGTTTACTTCCTTGTGAAAGGAGCACTGAAAACCTCTTACAGAAAAACCATTAGTGTGTTTTCCTTGAACTGTCAGTATCAAAACATGTGTTGCCTATAGATATGTTATCCATTCACTTTATAATTTTGACTGCGAAATATTTTGTAAATACACTTTTTTACTTTTCAAACAACTGAGTAAAATAATGTGCAATGAATTTTATACAGATAATTTTAAAGTTGTTTGGTATATTTCCTCTAGGTTTTGCTCGACTCAAAGTAGATTTGTTATTTTGATCAAACTGTGCAAACAATAGTACCATGTGTAGCATTTTGAAACATTATTTTCTAAAAATCGCTGTCTTGCTTTAGCTATTAATGGGGCATTGTGAGGAACTGTGCAAAGACATTTTTGTTACAAACCTGTGGGCCTGTTGCAATACTTTAAATATAAGAAATTTTATTCCATTTTTGCTTGTTTTTGTATAGACATTTCTATTGCTTCTAAATATGCTTAAAATATTTTCTTTCCTTATGTACAGTTAATCTTATTTGCCATCATCTTGAACATAAAATGTGTATTTAGAATATTTGTATAACTGTATAAAATGAAAAAGGAATTATGTGGTCAGTGCATTGTTTTCTAAACTGGAAATCATTTTGTTTTAAAAGTTAATAATGGAAACCATATTAAAATTGAATAAAATATGAAAAGTAGTCATGTGATTTTTAAACTGGCTGTAAGTGGTATTTGTGAATTTTAAAATCTTAAGTTGACTCAGTTTTATTACATAAGTACAAAATCACATCATAATCACATCACAATCATAATTACAGATTTTGGGAGTTGGAAGGGACCTCAGTAACCATCTAGAACAACCCATAAACAAAGGAATCCCCATTCCATACCTGTCAAATGGTCATCCAGCTTCTTCCACTACAAGATTTCCAACAAATGGGAACCCACAGTCTCTCCAAGCAGGCCCTTCTATTTTTAAATGGAAGCTCTCTTGGGAAATTTTTTAGGAAATCTTTAAAGGCTCTCTAGGAAATTGGGAAAGTTTTCCTGACATCAATTTTCTGAAGTAAGGAAAAGAAAAAAAACTTAATATGCCTTACATGCTGCTCAGTGTTGCGTTTCACTTGTCCAAGCTACAAAGAAATTTTTTTTTTAGTCAGTTAGTGGAAGTTGTCCTAAGAAAAACATTTTTTCAACCCAGCTTTTTAAAAGTACTAAGTATTGATTTAATAAAACTAATGAACCATGGCTTCATTATACATGAGAGAAAAAATAATCATAATGCAACAGTTGGTTTTGGGGGGTTTTTTCCCCCCAACAATATAGCCTCCTTTTTTAAAAAATTCATTTCTTAGTTTTCAACATTTACTTCCACAAGATTTTGAGTTCCAAATTTTCTCCCCACCCTAAGACAGTGTACATTCTGAATACCCCTTCCCCTAATCTGCCCTTCCTTCTATCAGCCCCCCCCCACCCTTCTCTTATCCCCTTTCTCTTCTATTTTCTTGTAGGGCAGGATAGATTTTTATACCTCATTACCTGTATATCTTATTTCCAGTTGCATGTAAAAACGATTAACAACATTTGTTTTTAAAACTTTGGGTTCCAAATTCTCTCCCTTCCTCCCTCTATATTGATGTAGATATAGATAATTTTTTCCCTCCAACTACCCTAATACTGACAAAGGTCTCATGAGTTACAGATACCATCTTTCCATGTAGGAATGTAAACAGTTCAACTTTAGTAAGTCCTTTATGATTTCTCTTTCCTGTTTACCTTTTCTTGCTTCTCTTGAGTCTTGTATTTGAAAGTCAAATTTTCTATTCAGCTCTGGTCTTTTCATCAAGAATGCTTGAAAATCCTCTATTTCACTGAATGACCATTTTTTCCCCTGAAGGATTATACTCAGTTTTGCTGGGTAGGTGATTCTTGGTTGTAATCTTCTCTCCTTTGACCTCTGGAATATCATTTTCCAAGCCCTCCAGTCCCCTTAAAGTAGAAGCTGCTAAATCTTGTGTTTCCACAATACTTGTTTCTTTCTGGCTGCTTGCAATATTTTTTCCTTGACCTGGCAACTCTGGAATTTGGCTATAATATTCCTAGGAGTTTTCCTTTGGGGATCTCTCTCAGGAGGTGATTGGTGGATTCTTTCTGTTTCTGTTTTGCCCTCTGGTTCTACTATATCAGGGCAGTTTTCCTTGATAATTTCTTGAAAGATGATGTCTAGGCTTTTTATTTTATCATGGCTTTCAGATGGTCCAATAATTTTTAAATTCTTGCTCCTGGATCTATTTTCCAAGTCAGTTGTTTTTCCACTGAGCTCTTTCATATTGTCTTCTATTTTTTCATCTTTTGGTTTCGTTTTACAGTGTCTTGATTTCTCATAAAGTCATTAGCTTCCATTTGCTACATCCTAATTTTTAATAAAGTATTTTCTTCAGTGATCTTTTGGACTTCCTTTGCCATTTGACCAGTTCTGCTTTTGAAGGCATTCTTCTCCTCACTGGCTTTTTGGATCTCTTTTGCCATTTGGATTAGCCTATTTTTTAAAGGTGTTATTTTCTTCAGTATTTTTTTTTGAGGGGGTCTCCTTTAGCAAGCTGTTGACTTGTTTTTCATGATTTTCTTGCATCATTCAGTTTTTCCTCTACTTCTCTTACTTGCTTCTCAAAATCCTTTTTGAGTTCTTCCATGGCCTGAGACCAATTCATATTTTTCTTGGAGGCTTTGGATGTAGGAGCTTTGACTTTGTTGTCTTCTAATTGTATGTTTTGATCTTCTTTGTCACCAAAGTAAGATTCTATGGTCTGACTTCTTTTGTGCTGCTTGCTCATGATCCCAGCCAATTACTTGAGTTATAAACTCTTTGTTAAGGTAGGAGTCTGCTTCCAGTGTGGAGAATGTACTGTCCAAACTTCAGGGGTTTTGTGCAGCTGTTTTCAGAGATACTTGTAGGGACCTGTAAATTTTCAATTCTTCCAAGGTGGTGTGATCAAAAGCGAGGTGTCTACTTCTTGACCTGTACTCTGGGCTATGAGTGATCATAAGCACTCTTTTCTGCCTTGGAACTGTGAGGAGGATTCTCTCTTCACTACCACTACAAGCTCCACCACACCAGCGCTCCACCTTGCCCCAGGACCACCACCCAGAACTGTGACCCAGCTCCAAGCACAGGCAAAGCAAGAGAATCCTGTACCAGCAAAGACATCCCTGCAATCCCCCTCAGATTAGCCACTCGATTCCCCCTCAGTCTGTGGGCTGCAAGCTCCAGAAGCAGCTGCCACTCTGGGGCTGCAGCCAGTACTGGGGCTGGGACTATGTGCTTCTCTCTCATCGCAGACAGACTTTTCCTACTGACCTTCTAAGTTGTCTTTTGAGTTCATGGATTGAGAAGTCTGGAAACCACCACAGCTGCCTGTGATTCAGTTATCCAAGGCCTGCTCCAGGCTTGCTGAGGCCTGCATGCCCATACCGAATTGCATTCCTCTCCCAGCCTGGCATGATATACCTTTCCAATCAACCATACAAGTTGTCTTGGGCTGGAAATTTGTTTCACTCTGTCTTTTTGTGGGTTCTGCTGCTTTAGAATTTGTTTAGAACCATTTTTATAGGTATTTGGAAGGGTCTGGGGGAGAGCTCAAGCAAGTCACTGCTTTTACTCTACCATCTTGGTTCCACCTAGGCTATTTTTTAAGGTGTTATTTTCTTCAGTATTTTTTGGGTCTCCTTTAGCAAGCTGTTGACTTGTTTTTCATGATTTTATTGCATCACTTTCATTTCTCTTCCCAGTTTTTTCTCTACTTCTTTTACTTGCTTCTCAAAATCCTTTTAGAGCTCTTCCATGGCCTGGGACCAATTCATATTTTTTTTGGAGGCTTTGGATGTAGGAGCTTTGTCTTTGTTGTCTTCTTCTGGTTGTATATTTTGATCTTCTTTGTCACCAAGGAAAGATTCTATGGTCTAACTCTTTTTTTTTTTTTTGAGCTGTTTGGTCACGTTCCCAGCCAATTACTTGAGTTTTAAACTCTTTGTTAAGGTAGGGGTCTGCTTCCAGTGTGGAGAATGTACTATCCCGAGTTCAGGGGTTTTGTGCAGCTGTTTTCAGAGATACTTCTGGGGACGTGTAAATTTTTAGTTCTTTCAAGCTGGTAGGATCAAGGGCAAGGAGTTCACTCGTTTCCTGGCCTGTGCTCTGATCTATGAGTGACCACAAGCACTCTTTTCTGCTTTGGAACTGTGAGGAGGAACAAGCTCCACCGCGCTAGTACTCTTCCTTGCCCACCTAGAACTGTGACTCAGATCTAAGCATGGGTAAAACAAGAGAATCCTGCCTCAGCGCCAGCAAAGAGATCCCTGCAGTCCCCCTCTGATCAGCCACTCGATTCCCCATCAAGTCTGTGGGCCGGAAGGTCAGGACACAGCCACCGCCCTGGGGTTGCACCAGGACTGGGGCCAGACCAAGCTTCTCTCTCACAGAGGTCCAACACACCTTTCCTACTGACCTTCTAAGTTGTCTTTGGCATTTGTGGGTTGCAAAGTCTGGAAACCACCACAGGTGCCTGTGATTCAGTCCCCTGAGGCCTGTTCCAGGTTTGCTAAGGCTTAGTCTTTGCTCGTGGAGGCTCACGCTGAACTGTGCTCCTCTCAGCCTGGCACAACGGACCTTTCCCATCAACCATCTGGCTGTTTTGGGCTGGAAATTTGTTTCACTCTTTTTGTGGGTTCTGCTGCTCTAGAATTTGTTTAGTCATTTTTTACAGGTATTTGGAGGGGTTTGGGGGGAGAGCTCAAGCTAGTTACTGCTTTTCCTCTGCCATTTCCACCCCTGACTTCTAATTCTTAACTGTCACGAAAAGAGCTGCTATAAATATTTTTGCACCCCTGTCTCTGTCTCTCCCTTCTCTGTCTCTGACACAGTCTCTCTGTCTCTCTTATTCCCAGCATAAATTAGCAATACAAGGGTTAACAGCACTAGCCACAACTACAGGCTTAAGAAACTTTCAAAAAACAGAGGTAAGCCTCTCAAACTCCAAGGAAGGCATTGGGCTTCTTCTCTTATCAAAAAGAGAGGAGAGGAGAAAAGTAGAGAAGGGGAATGTTCTCTGACTCTGGTCTCAGGAGTCCTGACCAGTTCCAGCCCCCACAACACTTGCTCTCTGACAGCTGTGCATGATTCATTCACACCATCTCAGAATCTAATGCTAATGTACTCGTAGCAGATGCTTCACTTCCAGCTTCCATTCTTCCTTCCTACTCTCCATGGCTTCTCTGTCCTGACTCCTGAGATATCTTGGCTTCTGCTCCCCAAAATCTCTTAGAATGGGAGGGGCTAGCTTGTCAAAGTTTGGCTTACCAATCACAAGGTTAGATCAAACTCTTCACTCTCTGGGTGAATTTCCACCAGGCCATTGGGCATTCATCTCTAATGTCCTGGTCTTCTTGGCAACCCTAAGACAGCACTAAATATGAAATGACAGTCCTCGCTTATATCTAGGAAACCAAGGAGAAATGAGCTGAACATAGTAGTGAATTGTGATAGCCACAAAATGTCCCCATTTCTTAGTTTCATTTCCTACATTCGTTTCATAAATATTAAGCATTTCTTATGGGCCAGAGATACAAAAATAAATGAAAAAAACTCCTTGTCCTCAAGGAGTTTACATTTCAGTAGAAGTAAGAAGATATGTGGACAAAT